AACTTTTAGTAACATATTTTTTCTATGTCACCCCTCTGTATAATACCCAACCCGCATTTCCTTCATCTATTCAAACTCAACAAATCCTCCACATACCTCCTCGCATCAATCCCAATCCCCTCGGCCAACCCCTTGGGCCCCCAGCCCGCCGCCGCACCCCCCATCCGCTGACTCTGTGCACTCGCATTCCCACCGCCCATACCCAGCCCGCTCCACACACCGCTGCCAAACCGACTGCCCGTACTCTTATGTCCATGCTGCGCCCCTGGATCCGCATCTCTTGCGCGCCGCACAAGAAACGCTTCGCGCAGATCCTGAGTATTGAACGGCGCAGACGACGCCCCTTCTGTTGGCGTTGACATTCTCGACCCTTGCTCTGATCGTGTGCCGTCACCTTCAAGATCCGATTGCTGACCCTGCCGCTCCCTATACTCGCGATAGTGCAAGTCCGTTTCCTCAGGCACAACATGCGAGGGCGGGAGCCGCATCCAGACGACCCACCAGCCACGACTCGTCTTGCACGTCCGCTCTATCTCGCTGAGACTCCTGCGCGTCGATGCTACTGTCGCGAGCATCTGGGAATGTACGTTGAGCGCATCGAGTCTACTCCAGCCCGCTTGCCTTTCCGCCAGGCCCTCCGCTAAGAGGGTCCCCGGGTCCGGGATGTTGGGGAGACTGGAATGCACGGTCAAGGTTCGGGGATCGAAGACGAGGTCGTAGATTGGTTGCGTATTGGGACCGGCCGTCGGACCGGAGCCGCCGGTGGAGGCTTCGGTTGTGTAGTGCGATGATACTGCTTGGAGGCGTTGGGCAACATTTATGGGGTTTGTGGATTTATCGAGAGAGCGGTGGAGGGGGGAGAAGAAGTTGTGGATGTCGCGGTAGAAGGAGGCAACGCCGAGGGAGTGGGTGCGGTGCTCGAAGAGGAAGACGTAGATGAAGGGGCGGTGCTAGGAAGGGGTTTGTTAGATTTTTGGTTGGAAAAGGGTGGGGGTTGGACTTACTATGTATACAACTGGCCGGAGCCTGGATAGTTTGCTTGTGGTTGGTGGGGGTATGTTCATTATTCGTTCGTATGGCGGTGTCTCGTCTGATTCGACATCTGGAGAACTAGACGAGACGTCTCTACTGTCGACCTCGACATGTATGGTTCGTAGTGGTATTCGGTTGTTCCAGTTGCCTTCGTCGTTCTCGTCGTCGATATCCAAGTCTTGCAGGTCGCCTTTGAGCCCTACAAGGAAATATCCGTTGTTCTCCAGTCGTATTTGTTGCTTTGCCCTCTCTTCTACATGGTCTACGTCTGGTGTTGGTTCAACATATCGCATGGCTTCTGGTGAAGGGCTTCGTTTCCGTACAGGTGCCACCTCAGGCACTGGAGTAGCAGGCTGGGGGCTGTCCGTTGTTTTCTTTCCACCCCACGCTGTGCCGTAACCAAGGGTCATGTACCTCGTCCACGTCTCGGTGTCCCCCAGAGACGCTAACATGGACCTGGATTCTGGCGCTGGTGAATTTTGCTCAGGCTTCTTGTTGTCGACGGCTGCAGCAGCTTTGTCAAGGGAGCTTTCGGTCGCTTTAACTATGGGCGGAGGGATGCCCAGGGGTAGGGCTGAGTTCTGATTTGATGTCGCAAGGCGTGGTCTTTCGGGTCGTGTAGGGCGAAGTGATTCTGGCGTTGGTTGCTCTGATTCGAGTGCAGCCCTCGGGTTCCTTCTCCGTCGTTTTTTTCGATCGGAGGCTGGGTTATCACGCACACCATAGGCGTACTCGCCATAACAGTAGATGCTTTCTACCCAGTGCGACAGGTCTCGCAGCGACTTCCGGCTCACTGCCCCTAGACCTGAGAAGACAACACCGTCTGCAGCCTGAGCGGTCCTCCCGACTCCAACCCACGGATCCAGTTCAGAATCGTCGAGCGTCCGCGGGTCCGTCGATGTTTTGGCTTGCTGCAATGGCGATACTTCGCCGAAACGAGATACCATGACATCAACTAGGCCCGGTGTCCTGCGAGCAAAGTCCTCCAAGACATCGCGCTCACTGCTGCCCCACTCCTCTTCGCCCACGCCCATGCCTAATTCTCCGCCTGCTGCCAGCTTCATGCCACCGAATATGTCCACCGCCGGACTCCCGTGGAGCAGTACGTCCCAATTGGATGCAAATCGTGACCAATACTTGTCGAGGATGCTGCAGAACTTGGTGCGGCCATGCTTGGCAAACATGCCCTCAAGTGTCAAGCCATGATGCAGCTGGAAGATGAGTTGAGCGCGGACGAGTTGCCGGATGAGGAGCGCCGGCGGGCTGACCTCGCGCGAAGAGTATTCGATTACAGGCTCTGTGGTATCGGTACTGGAATCTTTTCGGGTGAGGCCAGAGGCAGCGGGCAGCTGAGTGAGATCAATGGACTGGAGCCATGTTAGTTGGCGGCAGTTGCCTCTACGAGAATGTGCATACAGCCAATATCCACCACCCATTTTCCAGCTCGTGAAGAACAATGCGCGACTTTTCTGTTTCGACCGTATCGACCGGCTCGCCATTGGAGAAGCTCCTATCACCGGGTTAGTGCCAGCGCATACAAAACGAAGCGGCGGCGCAGTGCCATGCGCCCTACTTTGCAAATCCCACCATGCCCTGTGCTAGGCCGACCTGGCGCAGCTTTTCATTCTCCTGATCGCGCAGGTCCTGCTCTTGCTGCGCATCTCCATTTCTGAGCTTGGCGCGTGTCTTTGCGGCCTTCGAGTAGTAAAAGACAATCTGCTGGTCGAATGTTTCGTCTGATGTTCCTAGCGAGGGGTTGTAGATGGCCAAAAACGACAGCTGGGCCGGAATGACCTTGGGCACCGCCGTGGACGACATTCGTGTGTGTATGCGCCGAGGGGGGGCCAGTCGCGAGGCGCGTTGACTAGGCGGGCGTGGTGGCAGGAGTGTGTTGCGTCACGGTTGCATACATGTACGTAGGTACGCAGGAATGTACATACGTAGGTGTACCCTGCCAGCCACCCGCCAACGGTTGCCCGAGACTATTTGTAGATTGGCCATGACCAGCAGAGAGCGATATGACGCCGAACCATATAGGGAGCCAAGGACATGGCCGATTGTCACTGTCATCGGAGGTGAAGATGCCCCACGACATGGCGATCGCAACATGGCCGTGTCGCAGGGCGCGGCATCTTCCGAGCCCATGGCCGACCGTCTTCTTCACCTCCGAACCATGCTGTGGCGACTGCCAGGCTCGATCCGATCTCTGTTGCTCTCCTCGCGGCGCCATTACGTCCCCCCGAGCTGTTCCGCCTCATTGTCTTCACCGCTGCGCATTCTTTTCTGTGGATCAGATGACTTCAGTGTCGCATCCTTGCGCGCTGTCGTAGACGCAAAGCGTCGGGTTCCCCAGCTTATAGATAGCGTACAGGTGCTCCATCGCCCAGCCAAGCCTTCTGGAAGAGGACTGAAGACGTTGAGAGAAGGTAGACACGCTTGTCCATGTGCGACATCAAGGCCGTTGACCCAGTACAGTACCTATCAAACAGGTAGCTGTTGAAGAGCTCAGCCTACCCACCCATGCACTTGATACATTCACGGGTTGGGCACCGCCCACCCCCGTAGACCTCGTCATCGCCGTATCCTTTGGCCTTTTCGTGCCTCCTCGCATCCTCGCCCTGTCTCGCTATGGCGGCATAAATGTCCATCCATCGCTGCTCCCTGACTTGCGCGGGCCAGCTCCGATCGAGCATACCATCCTAAAGCAGAGAAAATACACGGGTGTTTCCATCCAAACACTCCACCCACAGCACTTTGATCAGGGTACAATTCTCGCTCAAACACCGCCCCCAGGCATTGCAGTTCCCCCAGGCATCACATCACAGAAGCTGGAAAAGCAATTGGCGGACGTGGGAGCACAAATGCTCGTAGACGTGCTCGAATCGCGAAAATTCATACCCCCGATCACAGATGCCGGATGGTTCGCTCAATCTGGCTGCCCAACCGACCACGCGCCGAAAATCACAAAAGCTGACCGGTTCGTCGATTTTGAGACAGACACCATGGCAGCCGTTCTTGCCAAACACCAGGCGCTCGGCGATCCATGGTGCGTGCTGCCCAACGGCCATCGCCTGATACTGCACGACGTCATTGACACGGCAACGGCCGCTCGTGCCGACCGCAAACCCGGCCTGTTTATAGAGCCGAATACAACACAACCTATGATCCGGCTTGCCTGCGGAAAAATAGCCATCCTGGCAAAGAGCACATATGAAGGGGGCAAGCATGGCCATGGCAATGCAAAGCTGGTTCGCATACTGGCTGACGGATGAGTGCCAGGATAGCCCTTACACCTGCAAAATTGCCCGTTCACGGCTACCCGTTAGACCATCTACAGTCAATTACCACCGTTATCGCCTTCCCACTCTTCTTTGGCATCTTGAAAATCCTCAATCTCCTTCATCACTCTGACACTCTTCGATGTCGCCGATACCTGATCCAAAGCAGACAGCAAACCCGCGGGGTCTGAGACCTCGTAGAAGAGCTGTCGCACTGATTTGGAACTGCCCTCGACAGTTCTGTTTAGCATCTGTAGCAAATGAAGAAATCCTTCATCAGACTCTGCATCAGGTGTGGTATTCTTGATTAGAAGAGACAGCCCCTGTATCCAGCGTTCAGTTTCAAACTTTAGCTCGCTTGTCTGCTGCTTGCCCTCTGATAGGGCTCCGAAGAGGTAAAGTATGCCATTATAGAGATCTCGGATAGTCGGAGTGGCAGGGGTCAAGAAAGATGGCTTCTGGACTTTTTCCTCTGTAGAGTGATACTGCCTGAAAGTCTCATACTCCTCTTCACCAAAAGCACGGCGCCTGGCATTGAGATCAACGATCTCTGGAGGTAAGACTATCTGGCCTACAGCACTCGATAGCTCGTTTTGAACCTCCAGTGTATGTTGGTGGTTCTGGAATGGCGTCTCCGCAGCTCCAGCTGACAATATCACTCTCTTCACATGCCCACCAGGTGGTCTGATTGGCAAGACTGGGTTCAGATTCATGTCTGCTGAAGCAGAATGTAGCGCATAACTCGCGGCAAAGCCATTGCCTTTTCTAATGGGTGGTGGACCATGTGAATATGCAGTGATAAACGCAGAGTTACTTGGTAGTACCACTGGGTCTGGTGGGGTTTCAGGGGCCTTCTTCGCACCCAGATGGGCCTGTGTGAGCATGTTGCGGATATCCTCAACTATGCTTCGGACTGAATCATCTGTTTCTGACTTTTTCAGCACTTGCTCTAACAACCCATGCGTTTTCTCATGGCTCTGTGTGCTTTTTTCGTCTGCGAGGGTAGAGTTTGCCCTGAGCGGTTAGCCTCCGACTGATTTGACAGTAGGGATACAGAAATTACCAGATCATAGAAGTCAGTATGAGATTGATCGCATCAGTATGCGACTTCAGCTTCTCGCGATATTGCTGCAGCGACTGTTTTTCATAGTCCCACCGCACCCTATGCCAGTTGACTTGGATGCTTTTCTTCATGTCGTCTAGCGTGCGCAACTTTGCTTTGCCCTTGTTGGCCGCTGCGTTCTCTACAGCTGCACTCTCAACCGAACGGTACTTCTCCGTCGTGGTTTCTAGTTCTTGTAGAGTAGACGCGCAGGCGTTTATCATCGCATCCAGCTTCTCTTTGAATTTTGCTCCTCCATACCGATCTGGTCGTGCAAGCAGATCCTTGGAAGCTTCTCCCAGATGGTCCAAGGCGCATTTTAGGCTGAAAAGTACGTCCTCGAGTTCTTTGAGATCGCGCGAGGCTGCCTTCCTTCCAGAACTGATGCTTGAGTAGAGACCATACGCTAGTTGACTGAGGAGTACTACACATCATTAGCGTCCTTGTAACGTCGTGCGAAGCGACTTGCTCACTAATATCCCCAATTGAAAACCCAAACGACATCGTTTCTTTGTTTCTTCTATGGAGGAGTTGAGACCTGAACGGCAATGGCCTGGTGACCACGCTGAACACCACACAAGGAGGCGCAGTTGTGCGGCTGATGCGACCCCGCTTAATTTTAGAGGCCGGTAGTAGTCATCAAGGCTGAAAACACCTTCTCAGTCTGGCAGGCACCAACGCTCTTAGCTTGAACTCCATAACCTATTCAGCGCCCCTCATTTTCTTGTCAAGTTTTCAATTTCTCAAGACTGCAGTAATGTCGTCAAATGCGCCTGCAAACCTCCGCAGAGTCGTCGTCGAGGGTCTGCAAAAGATCAAGGATGTCGAGCAAGATGAATGGGCTGTCACTATAGACCAAGACTCCGGGTTGTACACCGTCTCTATGACATTGGATGAAGACGAGCTGATGTGGCTCGGACTTTGGGACAAATTTGAAGGTAGAGCATCTGCTGTCCTTCTCTTTTCATCATCTTGACGACAATTAGAGTTCGGCTTCGCGACACCTAACGTGATGATGAATGGCGGTACCAAGTATCAAAAATCGACACCGGAATTTCTAGTGAAGGAGCACAACGAAGTCCTTGTGGTAGCAGACGATCAAGCTTCGACTCCCACCACGATAAAGATCAATGAAACCCTGATATCACACGCAAACTCACACCATGTTCCACCCCTCGAATTCAGAATCGATGAACTGAGTATTTCCCGGCGTGTATTACGAGACAACCGTGGATTTTGCGTAACATTTGAACGAACTGTACGCATGCCTGACGATAACAAACTACACCACCTCCCCTCTTCATTAGGGCGGTATGAGCTCTTCAGTGTAGACGCTTACTCAAAGCGTCTACCGCAAAACGTCAGAGAAGCAGGTGGTGTCTTCTTTTCAATGTGGCAGAGAGAAGCCATGTGGCTCAACTTCCAGCAAGGCTCTCACAAATACGCAGTACGGGTCTTCGTCGGCCATGTAAATGCCATAACTGGGAAAGAGATGCACAGGGGACCAAATGAGAAAGATGAGAGCAAGTTGCAGGACTATGTCGTCATACCTGGACAACAATGGCTGGATGGTATTTGTGTAGCTCCGGGTATTGTTCGTCAGTTCGTTGCCATGCCATGTGAGTGTGCAAAGCAAAACATTACGCAACACACGCACTTACTACTGATCACAGTGGGTTCTGGGTACACTGTTGAAGGCCAGAAAACTTCCGAAGAAAAGCATGGAGGACTGCAGCTCGAAGTCACGCCTGAAATGATACAAGGTGAACGATTGTGGTCATACGCAAAACGACATTACATCACATTCAGAGGTGGTTACAACTACGGTAGCGATGGGCTAAAAGAGTCCTACACCCCTCGTGAACTTGGTTGCAAAATCGGGGACGTCCTGAGATCATATCCGAGTGATAAAACCTACCGAACGCCTTTCCGAATTCGAGATTTGATAACGTCAGAGGTGGAAGAAACGAGCGAGAACAAGTTTCTCCAAAATACCGATCCATCTTCGGCGGCTCTTGTTAAACTCAAAGCTGATGGCCGTTTCATGTCTATACCTACCCCCATGCCAATGTTGACGCGCCCTTCAGTCTCATTCCAAGCATTTAAATCAGGGCCATATCAGGGATTGGGTGCTCCGCCCACGCACAGTTACCCAGAGCCCCCCTCGAGGTTATCGCCCCAAATCGACTTGCAAGTACCCATGCGAGCAAGCCCTTCTGCAAGGCACATAAGGGATAGTATAAGATCTGATTTTCAGTCCCTCGGAGATGTAGACAAAGGCATCACAATGCATGCTAAGACAGAGAGCGAAGGCAGAAAAGGTTTGATGGAGCTTACCGAAACCCAAGTCAAAAACATCAAGACCATGGGCTTAGCCGCTGGAGGAAAGTTAAGTACGTCATACGGTCTCTTTGCCTTTCCTTGCGGCCCTTACTAACAAACAGTAAAAGTCCAAGATATATACAAAGACACAAATCCCGCCACAACATGGAACCACGCCGCAGCACGCATCATCCACGTGCACATGCTTGATCCAGAGAGCTGCGAAAAAGTCACACACATTGTTCCTCGGCCTCCACCCATGGACGTGAAGAGGTACGCCAAGACTGGCGGTCAGTTCTGGGTTGTCGAAGAGAAAGTCGATGAGCGACTTGATGGCGGAGACTTCAACAACGTCAAGAGTGTCAGCCAGATGGACAAACACGTGGGTATAACCACAGAACCTGAATTCAACCCGGTAAGACCAAAGATGTGTACAACGTGTGAGATGCGACTGTGTGATTGCATGTAAGTGCCGCGTTCACTGACCCCTCTTCTCTCTCCTTCCCCGTACTAACAAATCAAATCATAGCGTACGCCCCTGCGCCCACCAATTCTGCAATACGTGCATCAAAGCAATAGAAGAAGGCAGCGCTACCGAATCTGATTCCCAACAAGCAGCTCCGTGGAAATGTCCCACTTGCAGCACCCCCGTCTCCCACGTCGCCGGTTTCTCCGCACCCATGAACCTACCAGGCGAGGAACCCATGCCCCGCACAAAGGTCTTTGTGAATGTCCTCAAGGTCGAAGACGGGAGAGCGAGATTCACCACCGTGCAGAAGTCCAGGGTCTAAACGTCTAAACCCTTCATCGTAGTCAATCTCGGTACCAGGGGTCAAGAGATGCCGAGCATGGAGAAGAAGGAGCAGGAAGCATACCAATGAGAAAAATCAGCCGTTTGTCATAATTCTATTTCTTAATGCAACACTATATCGATCGTACACGCATACACTACCAGGCCAAAAATTATCCCTGCACAAACAAGTGAATACGAAGTCCACCCCCGCAAATACTTGAGACTCCGCCCCTGCCCCATCCCCAGCTAGTTTCACACCTGCATGCACAGTCTAGGGTGCAATCATGCACCTCGGATGTTGCAAAGTCAAAAAAAAAAGAATCCCTACGAGTCAAGAACTGCATATTCCGTATGCCCGAGGTAATTCGGGTATACACAAGTTCGGCAAGGATAGATCGGGCTCTCAAGAGCTGATTGTGAGACGAGGCCAATGAAATGACGGGACGGACTAGGAAAGAAAGAAAAGGCTCTAAAAGTGTATTGGAACAACCGACTGAGCCATATACTTGCATGCATACTTAGTAGTACAACCCATGACAACAATCCAAGGGGTCCATGCAAAGTTTTTTTTTTAAAAAAAAAAGAGGACCATCAACGTTCTCGTGCCGTAGCAGCCAGCTAGAGCATTTTACTAAAACAGACGGACGTGTGTGTATCTCAGTAGCCCGGTGCCAAAAAAAACACCCCATTGTTACACACTTAGACCAAACTAGTGTAGCGATAACGCCCATGCAGCAAGTTTATTAATCAAAGTACTGTGTAAGTAACAAGGGCATGTTGTTAGTATGTCGGTAGGTGTCAAGACTAGTAGCTAAAAAAAAAAAGGCAATGGTAGGGAAAAGACGGCAAAAAAATACCAACTCCCCCGGAAAGGCTCGAACTTTCAACCTCCTGATAAGCTACTGCTGTAACAGTCAGACGCGCTAGCCAATTGCGCCACGGAGGAAGGATGCGAAAGCGCTGAGTGCGCTTCGGTTTTGAGTTGTGATGAAAAACTCTCAAATTTTATTGTATATATTCAAATTATCAATCTTTCTCTCCCTGTGGTGTTCTAGGGCAGCTGGAAATATCAACTCAACATTTCTTTGGGGGGGCTAATACATAATGAGAGGCTGGAGACGGCGGACCCAGGTCTTGTTAAGCGAGGAGGTGGGGCTTGGAGCATTCCTGGCTTTCTTTTCGGGAAAATCTTTTGTGAAATTACAACCGTCACGAAAATTAGTGTTTTTTTTTCTTCTACCAAGAGTGGGCTGGGGTGTTGTGGTGGGTTGGGATGGGGTTGTTGTCCTCTTCTTTTGTTCACGAAAGTAGTGGGTGTTCAACTACTACTACTGCTACTACTACTACTACAACAACAACAACAACAACAACAACAACAACAACAACAACCACCGGCGGTTTCGAGATTGTGTGTGGCTGCTTACATGAACCCCCCTTGCAATACCGATGAAGACATGTGCAAAAGACCGGTATGTTACATGTAGAGATTGCGTTTGGTGGTGCATGAAGGGTGAAACGCTAGTGTGCGGATTTGGGTAATGGTTCAGAAAACCGGCATTTTATTTTGCGTTCTTCGTAATTAGTGAAAGCATGCGCGAAGCCCATCGGTGCGTGTTCTAAGTAAAAGGTTTGATTGTAGGATTTACTAGTCATACGTCTATCATTATGCATTTGCTCTTTATATATCATAGACATGTAATTTAAAAAAAAATCCATCCAATCTTTCCCCTATGTAAATGCCAGGTACTGTCATCAGAAAAAAAAATCATCTCAAGGACCTGATATGTAAATCCGTATCGTCATGGTCTCGTTACTCATTACCATAACCCGGAGCTATAAGCCCCATCTCTTCCTCTCCAGTTCCCCTCTCCCTTGGCGCAACCTTGTTCGAATGCTCCTTATTCATAGCAACATAAATCGCGGAGCCTAAGATGAGTGAAGAGCCAATGATGGAAACAGCGCCTGGCGTTATGCCCCAGATGAGCTTGTCAAATGTGAGAGCGAACAACATTTGCATGTACACCATATTGGTAGCACGAGATGACTTTTCATATTGCAGGCCGGCTGCTAAGAGAAATTGCTGGGAATGTCAGTTGAATAGTTTTGAAGAAGGAAACTATGAAATGTACCATGATGAAGCCGCATATACCAAGGAATATCAGGTAACACCAGTCTGCGAGGTTGCTTGGAAGTAAAAAGCCGACCCCTGGTATGGTAAGCATGGCTACAATACTGACAATCGTGCACCAGGCCCCAAAGTAATTGACAGTGAGAAGGGGATGGGCACGTTTGCCAATCCAGCGAATAGTCGTATAGGCGCCAGCGGCTCCAAAAACACCGAGCATGGCTACCCCTACTGCAATTGCTCTTTGCTTAGGAGTTACAGAATCATAATCTGCGCCCAGGCGGTCCGGCAATTCAGTCGTTGTGTTCGCAAGAAGCGAGTCTGGGTTGGCGCTGACAGGCGATACCACATCTGGAGAATGGGAAAGAGCGGCAAAAAGGGAAACGGGCCGTGCAATCAGAACAACGCCGAAGAGCGAGACATAGGCTGCGATCTGTTCCATCCGGGTGAACGGTTCGTCAATAAGGTAGGAGCATGCCCAGCATGCAAGACTAGGCGCAAGAAAAGTGATGACTGTTGCATCAGCAAGGGGAAGATACATTAAAGAATCTGCGACAAGTCAGCACTGTGATCTATCATCAAGGTTTATGAATACTATAGTAAAAGTCGCCAAAAGAAAAATACAGACAAGGCACCCCAAAATAGGTACAAAGTCCGAGACTAAGCCAAGTCGGAAGTCTTTGAACAAACCCTTGCACCCACATGGATAACATATGAGTGGAATTCATTACTTACAATACATGCCGAAGACTCCAAAGAAGCCAGTCAGACCTCGGGCTATCAGTAGCGGGCGTACTTCCTTCATACCGAACGGAAAGTGCTCCGTCTTCTTGTACCACATGTACAGAGAAGAGCATAGTACTGTAATGCTCATCCTAGCAAAGAGTATTTGGAACGGATGATAGCCATTGCCTATGTTGCAATTAGCAAAACATGCCGACTTGAACTCAGACCCAAAGACAATTTTACCGTTGTTGCCTTCCATTTCCAGCATGCGGGTTGTGACATTCATCAGTGTGCCAAACAGCTGCGAAATCAAAACGAGAGCCAAACCTTTGTTGACTGTCCACGAAGCTTGTATCTTGCCCTTGAAAGTCCGTGGGGGGCTAGGCGACCGAGAAGAGCGTCTCCCATGATAAAAAGGACTACAATCTGGGGTTCGGCCAATCCGTACATTGTGAAAATCGTCTATCGAAACCAGGGAGGGATCTGGGGAGGGCACGCGAATTGCCCCGCAATTGACCGTTAGTGTATTTTCGGCCTTATCTCCGGGTTTGAGACAAGGCTCAGCTACGAGTCTAGGCTCTTGATGCTGCTGTGCAGTTTTACCATTGTCTGCATTGGATTTTGGGGGTGTTGGCTGGTCCATGGTGTCTGGTGTCATGATCCGGACAGATGGATGGAGGTCTGTGACGAGGAAATTGAGACATAGTGGAAACTGAACGAAAAGGTGGTGGGTTAATCAGCTGTAGACGCCACGCGGAAATCAGGAAGGCGGCAACCAACTCAACGAGTCACAATCATCGACAACGCAGCGGCCCCCACAGTTCCCCATCTTTTCCCGTTGATTGCCATTGTTCCCCATACGTTCGTTCTATGGCGGGCGCGCTAGTTCGCGGAAAAAAATTCTATGTTAAATCAGGAGTGTACCAGATAGCTCAAGTCCATTTCGTAGCGACGGATCATAACTCGCCGTGGTTCCAGACGACGTCTCCATGATGACGTCTGTTCATACACGTGACGACACGTGATGTAACATGACGAAATCATCAAGCATATTTTTCTTTGGTCCACAACCATTCAATCCAAGCAAGGAAATGACGATAGAGTCCTGGATGTTCCGTCGGTGAAAATTGATGGTAGGCTATCTGGGTCTGGATCTCAGAGTTACCAATAGCCGTGTGACCGAGAGGCGGCGAAATCGGATCTTACTACTTCATCTACCAACTATTAGCTTCTCATCTCTAGAGATGAATTATACGGATAAACAAGGTCTTTTTAGCTCAGGCGCTTCACTAACGCCATTTGCATAGCCGTACAATTGTCTGCTGATCAACTCACATATTAGACAAGTATTCTGTAGTAAGCCCTGGTCCATTTCTAGACTAGAACACCATCACTAACTCTAAGTAGTCCATTTGTTTTGGCTAGGTGTAATATCATACACAAGACATACAAGTAAGCCCTGCTCGCCCGTAATCTGGTCCAGCCTCTTTGTCTTGTGTAAGCAGTCGGTCTGGCTAGAGTAATCCGGCCGGCCCTTCTATTGATTACCGCAAGGCCAAACGCACCCGTTAGCAAGCCACGGGCATTTGCGCCGAGGGCACCGAAACTTGAAGAAAATAAAGTTTCCCTAAGGCTTTGGCATCAAGCAAGCTTCCTCCCCTCCCCCCCCCCCCAAAAAAAAAAGTGGGCTGATGTTCTTCTGACGATCGACTGTTCATTACTTTTAGATCTCCTTTTATTCTCGCTACAGCATGGGGGATGCCGGGAAATGAGGCCCAAGAGTCCCTGCAGTACGTGCATAGTTTGGTTTTCTGGGGGAGGTGTTCAAAACAAAGTCCGGAAAATGTACACGTTGTATTACCGCATGATGCGTGCGGAAGTGGGGAGGGGTTGCTCATCCGATCGATGGCTTATGGTGCTGGACAGTCATGCACAGTGAAGTGACACGACCAGATATGTGACTCGCTCATATTTCGTGCATGCACCGTCACAGAGGGACCATTGACCTGATATTGAACGAAGGCGTTTTCTGTTGTGATTGGTCAAGGCGTATAACTGCTGTGGTGGCGAAAGAATGGGGGACGTGAGCCGTAGCTATTCCCAATCCAGGTGGAATATGGCTATCGTCACTTGGTTGCTGGTGGCTCAGTATACAAGGTTTCTCAGCTGCGACTCCAGCTGCACACAACAAACGATAATGCTCATAATACCAACGAATAGGAGGCATATATACTAAGTATGTAATGTATGTGTGTGTATGCATGTTGCAGCAACAACGCTAGTCGGCCGTTTTCGATAGCGGGCCGCGGCATGGTTTAGACGTCGAGCGGCGTGCGGTCATCGCTTTCACGCTCAACACCACGAGCTGCCACATTGCTTGCCTGCCTCCAAACCCTATTTCTTTGTCATAAAGTACAGCTGAATCGCCTGTGCCGACCTGTCAATTCCTTTACTCGTCCGCGTCTCCCAGCTATTCCGAACGTTAAATATGGGATCTCCATAGGGTTGAGAGTAGGCGAGGATTAGAATCGCGACAGCTGTCAGGAGCGATACGCGAGTTTTGTCTACCGATCACAGCACCATCCTGTATCTGCCAAGTTCGTATATGTATGTAGTTAGCTGCGAGCTCCAACAGTGGCTTACAACCGACGACCGAGAACCCGGATGGTGACAGGAAAGGGTATCTCTTGAAGGGGCATTTCGGATAGACAATCAAAGTTCGAGGCGTGTTCGGCATCCATGGCTAGAAAACACGGCAGTGTGGACCATCCCCGGCGTGCCGTGAGAGGCTGTGGAATTCGCCCTTTTTTTTCGTAGCGCCGGGACGTGATCCCGTCCAATGGCCATGGGTGTTTTTTTTTTCACCAGATTCGGACTGCATTTCCCCAATACGATTGATCTGCCTCAGGGTAGTACGCAATGCGCGTGAGCCAAGCAGGGCGCGGGAAAAGAGAGTTGGGCGGGCTGTGAGGACAAAGTGGTGAACAGTGCAGGGCCGGAGTTGAGTTTTCCTTTGATGGGCAGAGCCATACGTAAGGTGATGATGCCGAGGAGCAAAACTCTAAAGATTTGGAGCTGCACCCCCTGGAGCCGGAGGCCGCGGGGCCCCTTCAGCTCGTGTCGCGTGAGGTAAGTATATGACCAGGTCGACATGATGCATGCAAGGCCTGGCAGCAACGCGGCCGTGTGCGTGGTCCAAAGCACATTTCCCGCGTTTCAGGCTTGCCACGAGGGGACGCGGCGCCTGCACGGATCCACTGCAAATCTCCCGCTTACACGCACCCCACGGGAGCGCGCGTCAAAGCAAACGACGACGCTGGTGCTTGTGCTTGGGGGCGCCGGACGAGCTGCAAATTGCCCTTAAGCGCGCCAATGCAGCTACCGCCATGTTCGCCTCGCCTGCAATTGCCCGCAGAGAAGGCTTCGTTGCTTGCTGTGCGCTTGTCCGCGGCATGTCATATTATAGCACCAATTAAGGCACATACTACATGCGACCTAAGGCGTCTGCTGTGCCTGCTCCCATTCCCCACATGCTCGCCTTTGCTTGTGCCTGTGACCGGGTTTCAGGTGAGAGCCTACTTACTCACACAAAGAGCCCGGCTATAGCAAGGGCCGCCATTATCGCGCCAGCTGCGCAACAGACGACATGCGTACCAAGACGGGGACCGCTTCGCAACGCCACAGCACTGCAGGCCTAGTTTAGAAAAGGAGAGCACAACACAAGCAATGCCGTTTCGCTGTGCCGCATGCGTTAGGTTCTGGTTACGTCCGACGCGGTCAAATACTGTTAAATCGGGTCGACCGCAAAATGCTCTCCGCTCTTCCCCGATGCCTGATCATGATGTACAGTACATACATGTGTATGTGTAGCCCCATCACAAGTCGCCGTCGGGTACATGCAGCCTCGATTTTCCGTGCATCCAAAAAAAAGATTGATATCGGAGTGGGGAGGGGTGTGTGTGGAGCGGCAGCTGCATGAACATGGACTCTCAGGTGGCAGATGCCCTGGTGTAAGCGAAAGTTTACACGCTTGCTAAGGCTTTCGCCTAGAAGACTACTGTGCTTGGCAAGGGCCTGTTCTGCATATAATAAGATTTGCAAATTGACATACTGTGGAACTTTGTAACCCGCAACCGATGTCGTGGTCAAAGAACACGGAGATTTAGGGGCGCAGCGTGACGCGTTTTTGGCTAAAGAATGCACGAATGCCCAGAAGCCAGACACAGAGTGTGGCGGAAGGGAGACAACTAATAATATCCGTGCTTTTTTTGGTCGTATTATTATTATTATTATTTCCTCTGTGGATGCATTCGCTACAGCCGCATGCCGTCTGCGACAGGGACACCGCTTTTGAATGGTGCATTCGTAAGAGCCACCTTCGAATCGGTAAGATCGGCATGCTTCGATCGCAAGAGCATGATCCATAGCACGACCAACACCGCACATGGCGTTTTTTTTTGATTGCTGATCAATGGCGTAGTGTGACAACGAAGATGTGTGCATGTACTATACATGCGGAACTACCAAGCTTAGCGAGCTACTATAAATGAAGAAATTGAAAGACATCGCTTGCAAGCGCATTGCCTCTCCCCCCCTTATCCCAAAGCGACATGACAGTTACCGGTTTATTACCAGACATAAAAATTTTCATGGTACCAGCAGAAAACTGCCCCAAATGCTCCTGCTCGCATGCTATGCCGTATTCTCTGCCCATCTAAATGTACTGCGTACACGGCATCGGTAGACTTTCCCAGGCTACTCCCACACTGCTCTTCTCCTACTCCCCACCTTCGTCAAAGTTCCCGCCTAAGCGGGTCTCCGCCCTGGTCTTGCCTTGATTGGCTTTGCCGCAAATTCGCGCGCCCCACCGTGACCGGCGCCATTGACCTCCTGCCCACGGGCAGCGGAAAAGGTGCTTTGACCGTGTACTTGACCGCCGTAACTTTCACTGTCATACACGACCGATTCGTTGGCCGCTACAATACTCCTTTTGTATAGTTCCTGACAAAGGGGTCTTGCTGACCAGACTTGCCCGGCTACGTCGGGGACACGTGTGCTATCCTGGACCACAATTCTCTCATGTGCACTGCCAACGCCGCTAAACGTCATATGCTGCTCTGTGTTACTTGAGCTATGCGAATTCCGTTGTAGAGGCTTGGACAGGCGATGTGCTGTGCCATTCTGCGAGTTGTTCATCTTGGAACCAAGAAAAGCACGTCTGGGAGAAAGCGCTGTTGGCAAGCGAGTATAGTCAAACGTTTTCCAGCTGTTAGGAAATGCTAGGTCACCCAGCTGCTGCATCTGTTTTCCTCGCTGCATGCTTGCATCAATGCTGACACTGTCATCCACTGCGGTCTGGTAAGACCAATGGGCCCGAAGAGGATACTCGAAACTCTTCGAGTAACCCGCTAGTGTAGCTTGTTTACCAGCAGTAAACTGGCGCACAACTTGATCGTCTCCCATGTTGCTCAACGTGCCATTATTGGAAAAAGTCAGGTTCTGGCTCCATATGGCCGTCTCTCGTCCATCGGCAGTATCCAATGTCGACTTGACGTATATGCTGCGTGATACTTGGACTGAGTAAGCCAACGAGGAAACACCAATCGTGTCTTGCTTCGTTGCAGACGTCAGTTGAATAGAAGCGACTGAGTCCAAGACGGGTCCCGTTCCCGTTAGAGGCTTGTTGTTTGCGTCAAGCCAAACAAAGACTTTGCCAGTGACGACCCAATTTGATTCAATTGCTGTTGTGAACGTGCCCGTGCCATTTCCATCGTCATCGATGCCAAGAACTTGGATTTCGAATATATGACTTTTGCCATCGTTGAGTAATGGGATGAAAGATGTAATGTCAATTTCGTCTTCTTGGAGGTCGAATGCATCAATCCCTGCTACTGGTCGCCATAACTCTGGGAGAAAACCTCCAGTAAAGATGACTGGAAAAGGCCAAGCAACCCCAGCCAACTGCCCATCAATAAGAAGTTGAATCTCCCGGAAGGGCGAGTGGCCATATAGCAATGTGTGTCCCCCAAAAACACTCGTGTCGGAAGAGAGTACGTTGGTCCACCAGAATTCCTCGGCAGCTTGTCCGCAAGCGGAGATAGTCACCACGGCTTTCTTGGCATTTCGCGGCAACATGATGGTGTCGACTGCTCTAGTTTCCGGCACAATAAATGCGCTTGGGGAATTATCGACAGACCTCCGAGCAGAGATTGGAATGATGACATCTGCTGGCTCAATCTCGTCTTCGGCAGTAAAGAAGGTTGCCGTCAGTGTGGTATTCCAGCAGCCAGTATATACATCATCAACAAGGTTTCCTAGGTCGAAAATGATTCTATGTGGCTTCTTGAACAGGCTCAAATAGCCGCTCATGTCTTTGACGTAGCTCCAGACGATGCCCGTCTGCGTCGGCTCTGTAGTCGAAGTCCGGAAAACCTCAGTGTCATCAAGGAACATAAGGCCGAGCCTGTCAAACTGTAGGCCGGCGGAAGTGACCGTCAAGTTAAAAGTAACCCTGTTGAAGCTGCAGTCGGGTGGGTTGTATTCACCGATAAATGGCTGACCGTATGAGTAGGCAAAAGTGTGCTTCATGATAATCTGTTGACATCCGTCCATTGGACTGAGGACTGGCGGCATGGGCTGTAGGCACTGAAGTAGGGGAGGGTGCTTCCTCGGGCCCTTGTGAACATCGGCGGATTGGGACAGGGTGATTAGCATTAGAAACATTGTTATGAGGACCGAGCTAGGTGTTGCTCGTCCAAGTGACGCCACGGCCAGTTCTATGAAATCCACCATAACGCCATCCAAAGAGTCCATCGCTCTCGTAACTCCGACCATGCATGAAGCCCCTGTGTCGTTTCGAGGACTGGTCGGCAGCGGTAGGATGCTCAAAACGCCGTAAACTCCGTACTCCGAGGTATCTTGCGAAAGAAACAAAAAAAATAATCCAGGTAGATAGGTGCGGCGCCGAAACCCAGAAGAAGCAAACCGGATTGATTTATGAGTGATTTCTGACGAGTGTGAGCGGTTGTACTTGGCAGTAGGAAGGTGTTACGTACCTTGACAATCAATAGAGGGCCAGGCGGCGTGTCGTCAAAAAAAGGGATAAAAAGTTGAGACAGTAATGGTTGCAGCCAAAGTTAAATACTGGCACGGTGCGAGAAGGCTTGCTGTGGTTGTGGTTGGGTGGGGCGGGAAGAAGAAGAAACGGGGCGGGCGGGCTATTGGGTGCCCTTGTGATTGTCCCAAAAGCGCCTAGTGGCGTTTCGTACGATCTCGTTGTCTCCAAACCGTGTGCGGTAGTAGTTCAAGAGGGCAAACTCGTCTGGAGGAAGAACGTAGGATCCGGGATGAGCGTTTAGTTTTGCCCAGACTTCGGCAAGGCGTTTTTCGAGAAATTGAGCCAGGCGCTGGTCGACACCACCTTCACTGTTCTGAGCAACGTTGACGGCCTGGCCAAGGGAGAGGTAGCCGTGGCCGACTATATGCTCAGTGCTGCCACCCATGTCTGCGGCGGGATTGTTGGTAGCAATGGTGAGCGAGATGGTGGTAGTGCAGTGTAGTGAAACACGAGGTCGATTGGCTGGCTGGCTGGTGCAAGTGCAAAACGAGAGAGGAAGGAGCGAGTTGAGTGGGAGGAATGTAGTAGACTGAGCGTTGTGCAAGAGACGGATGGCAAGATAAGGAGCGTCGTGTTTAAAATAGGGTCAAGCAAGAAGGCAATGCGTAGTAGTGTAACACAAGGCATGGACGTAGCGCGGTCAGTGGTATATATAGTAGAGGGTATTAACGGGCAGGCACATCGATGAGACGAATCCACGTGGAGAAACAAGCAGATCCCAAGCAAGAAGCTCATGCAGCTGGGCAAGGTATGAGCCTAGACGAAGCCTCAAACAGTTGGCTCCGGGAGCGTGCCGTTTTGGGCGCTGTCAAGCTGTGAAGCGAAGGAATGGGTGTAACACACCAGAGTGCAGCATCGTCCCGCCGAACAATGTGAAAGCGCGCGCCGGGGCCCTGGGCGGCAGGGAAGTCGCCAACGGCGCCGAGGAGGGCAGGGGCAGGGGCCTGACAGGGCAAGTGCCAGGGGGCCCAAGAGGGAGCAAGCGCGAAGGACAAGAGGGCAAGGGCGGGCAAGGGCAAGGGCCGGGCAGGTGCGAGCCTGGTAGCCTGGTAGTGAGTAGTCAGTAGTGGCCTGGTAGGGCAGGGGCAGGGCAGATCAACTCCAGAGTTTAGCCGAGCGGGCAGGGGGTGGGGCAGCAGCAGCAGCAATGGGCGCGACGCTGCTTGCTGCGCCGTTCAAAGAAGGAACCGCCCTTGTGCCATGTCTTGGGACAGCGGCAGCAACAGGAACTGCTCGTGACCGGCCGCCAATCAGCCCGCACCTGCGACTGCAACGACACCGACCAGGCCCAGGTAAATGAATAATGGTGTCCCCGTCACTCGTCAGCTCAGCACCTAAAGTCGGCCTCAAGGTTTGAGACTGGTGCGGTTGCAGGGGGGTGGCCACGACCAAAACTTTAATTCTTCGACCTGCAAACCTTCGCATGGCCTCGCAATCAAGTCACCGAGCCGTGCTGCAACTGTCTCTGACGCGGTTATAGGAGAATCCAAAGGGGCGAGCAACATGCCTGCAAACGACAAGCACCACCACCACTCACTCGCCCATACCGAGTCCTACTAAATCCCTCGTTACTAAACACTTACACATCCCCGCTGCTGCACTGGCTGACTGCCCCTCGGGCAGACGGTCGGCCTGGCTAACTGACTAATTGGCTGCCTGTGCCGTCATACCCTGCATCCTCTCTCCCCATGAGGCAATTCAGCATTGCCAACAGCCCCCGGAATGGAAGCCTCCCTCGTCGCCAGGCATGAGCTTGCTACTAACGAATGAGTCGCCGACTACAGAGGCCAGGGGCGTCGTGAATGAGACCTTGTCAGAACGGATTAGGCTAATCAAGACGTTGGACGCTGTTAGAGGCCGGCTGTGTCCGTAGGATTCCAACGCCCTTCACCACTCCCATCCACTCGTTCCAAGACCTTTTCGGTCCCAAATGGGCGCCCACCCACTCCCATTACTCGGACACGAGCCCATGCTCGGCCACAGTGACAAGGTACGCAGTCGTGAAACGGTCGTGTTGGGCAAACTTGGGTAAATGAAGTCCTCTCCTGTTCCACAACGGGGGCCATGGCTACCGCCGAACAGGTTTGCGAACAGAATCCGAACGTGGGGCCCGCACTGCTCATTCCCTATACACAAAACTACGCCTGCTGCCCCGCAATTTAGAATTCGCTATGCATCCTCGGTCGACTGGACTACGGCACGCGATCGTCGATGCCGGTGCAATAGCCCAAATCCATTGTCATAGTAGTGGTATTTGTACACACCATACTACGCACTCACACGCGCGTATTATAGTACTAACGACTGTAACTATGTGGCCAGCACCTTGGGGGCGGCCGCGCCACATGCCTGGGTTGGCTCAAGCGCGCCCGGAAGCCTGAATGACCGGCCCCCTGGTAAAGTACCGTAATGGTGGTCGTAATAAGCAAGCGAGCGTGAAGGAGTCGACTATGCAGCCCATGCGTGTGTGTGTGTGTGTGTGTGTGTGTGTGTGTGTGTGTGCGCGCGCGCGCGCCCCGCGCCCACGTTCCGCCTGCAACGAGACCATCCGGCTAGGCCTATTCAGACGAGGCCTGCAACAGCTGTTTGGGAGGGAAACACGCTTCCAGAGTTCCAGACGAACATCTTGGCTACACACCGGCTAATGCATGCTGATGCTTCTGTCAACCACCTCTGCGCAAAGCTGCGCAAGACGGCAGTAGCCTGGTCTTTCTTGCTGCTTGGATCATGGTGCTAACGGCAATGCGCCGCCACCATGGTTCCCTGGAGACCATGCGCTTTGATGGAGGGAGATTGGGGTCCGATTTGGCAACCACAGTCGAAACGTTCCTGGGTCTTTGACTTCGCTTCCGCCGCCACCTATGCCTCACACCACCAGGGAACCTCGATCTGCTGTCTCGTCGCCTTCCGCCTTGCATTTCAGACCCCATCTCATCACACGCCTGCCCACCTCCGCAACTCGGGGTTGAAGCGTCGAGCATGGCCGTGTCACCGAAGCCGAGTGTCTGCCCATTGTACTTCGTCCGGTCATCAACTCGCTGCACTTTTGGAATGCCGCCACCCAAGGAAGGTCTTGCGTGTCCTGTCTTACCCTGCCCTGCCCTGCCCTTGTCCGGTCTTCGAGACGAGGGCATGCATCCGACAGAGCCGTCATCCGCTGCCAAGATGTCTTTGATAGTCGCGCGGCTCAGCGTCGTGCGGCTCCGTATCGGACCCTCAGCGGTCGATCGCGGGCCGGCACTACATTGTCCACCTTGGGTCTATTCTCGGGCACATACAGATGGAACATGATATTATTAATAATCCGCACATCATCTGGTGGTTCAGATGGGTCAACCCACACTCTTGCGGTCTCCCCGAGCGGAATGGAGCGCTCGGCAGCGGAACAGTTCTCGGACCCGGCAAAACTATTTTTCCGGCAGCATACCCCGGCCCAAAATCCCAGGCTCCAGTGACGCTGCGTCGACGTCGGTTTTGGCATGAACTTCTGGAACACCACACGCTGTATCCGAGTCTGAAACGACTGACGCCCACGTGAGTAGCGTTTCACTCACCTCTACCCTCCTGGGCCACTCATGCAATGAAGCCACGCGTCGCACGCATCGGGCCTGACCAGCTGCTATTCGCCCGCCTCACTGCCAGAAGCCGCACAATACAGCCAGCACCACCCTTCTTGCGCAACTTCTTCACCTCCACCCCACCCACGACCCGGTTGCGCTCCATCAATGAGACTATCGAGAGAAGCGCCCTCTCCCTCTTCCGCTGCCAGCGCCCCGCTCTCGCCCGCCGCTTCCGCTCCCTTCGCTTCAAGAGTGACAGGCCCAACGCCCAGTCGCACAACCCCACACCCCACTTAGGTAGCCCAGAGCCAGCTCCTTCTGTATCGCAGCGCCTCAAGAAGCTTTCTCGCGAGTATGGCTGGACTGCCCTTGCCGTATACCTGGGCCTGTCACTCCTCGACTTCCCCCTTTGCTTGTTAGCAGTGCGCCTTCTTGGAACCGATAGAATTGGCCACTATGAGCATGTGCTGAAGGATGCGCTCTGGAGCGTGGTGCGCCTAGGTTTTCCCAATGCGGGTAGAAAGCCAGCCGAAGCAGGTGCAGATGAGGGCGTTGCAGAAGCCATTGACAGAGACGGTTATGTGGAAGCTGGAAGGGCTGCGGGACACAATGGTGGCGCAGACGCTTGTGCGCAAAACCCCTCCTTCTATTGTGAACAACTGGCTGTGGCTGACAAGTATTGCAGCAATCTGGACCCAACTTGGTCTAGCCTACCTTGTTCACAAGTCTCTAATCTTCTTCCGCGTGCCATTGACTGCCGCTGTGCTGCCCAAGGTCGTAAAAACCCTGAGGAGCTGGGGGTATAATATTGGCACGAGGAAGCCTAGATCCCCACCCGCCTAAATTTCGGAATCGGCCAAGCGTCGATGGTCGTCTGACAACCGCGACATAGACAAAGGGCTCTATGAGAGTCCTACATGTAAAATTTAATGTATTCACGACTCTGTAACAACACACACACACACACACACACACACATGTAGGATATGGATATGGATATAAGACAAGCACCCTTTCTATGTTCTGTCTCATGCGCACCTACCGACACGGCGGTTTTTGTCTTCGATCTCACTCTAGGTACTCAAAGCCCAATGCTGCACTCTGATGAACCCAAGCGTACAAGCGAGAGCGTTTCATTGTTGCACCATGGCTCGCCAAAGCCTGTTAGCTTACTTAGGCAACCAGCAGAAGCCGCCCCCACATCTTCATCAAGAAACTTAACAAGCCGCCCTTTAGCTGAAGCATTTGTCAGGAGATACACTCATCGGTAGATCTGAGTGGCATGGCAAGCTCGCAAAGCCAAGCCAAGCCAGTAATCTAGTCCCCAGTGGGCAACCGAGAGGGCAACGGCCCTAGTTGCCATGCATGACATACATGTGCCGATCGTAGCTAAACCTTATCTCAATCATAAATGACACCAATTACATTGTGAGGGTGGTGCCGGAGATGCAGGTGGTGGGTTGCCGAAGCTAACCCTGTGAATCGGAAGCCGGCGCATACGAATGAACATTGTTTAGCTGTAAGCTTACCCGAGCTGCGGTGTCACATCCCGCAAACCTTACCCAAGTGTGCGGAACTACTGCGACAAGGTTCATGCTCGTCGGATCAAGGTCTCACCCCGTTCCTCTTCGTGTATATCGGCCCTTTTCATGTCGAAACCCTCCTGGTTCTTGGTTGCCTCCTGGCACTTTGAAAACAGCCGCTTACCCTGTTTGTACCCTACGCCGTTCCCACCGATCAGAAATAAGCACTTTGATCCCGGACCAAATGTTTGTGAAACTTTGCCGCACTTGTCATCCATAAACTATATTCTCGCCAAAGTAAAATGCTATTTTGTCTTCTCGAGAATCCGATACCGTAATCACCCGACCTGGTGTAGGATAAACTTTACCCCGTGTTGTTGTATACGCGTCGCCCATGTTTTGGCAGCGTCATCGTTCGACGTTGGGCAAGGCGGTCGGCGCTCAAGCTACCACTTGGATTAGGCCCAGATGGCTCTTCTCCGAGCGCTTATTTACTATCGCCTTGATAGGCCTGATGGCAAGTCCCCAATGCTACTATAGGGCATTGCGGCAACCCGCACCCGATGAAACACCAACAGTCGTCCCGTCTCTCTTCCTAAATGTGGATGAACGGGGCCTTGCTCTGTGCCGTTAAATATCGAATCATGCGGTTTGGTCGGCCAACTTGCATTTGCGGATTAATCATCGGTGACACATACAAGGCAACATTTCGCGCCTCATTTTTGTACAGCACATGGTCAAAGCAATGCCTGGACTGGCCAAGTTGCAGAAAAAAAAATAACCCCACGTCGCAGAACGAGGTGAAAAATTTCGAGACGAATTTCAGCTATCACTTTTTTCTCAAGTCTCACATCCCTTGCACTGATCAACCGATCGGGGTACGCAGGGTGGAATTCGTGCATGAAGGGTCCTGGATCTACCCATCCAAGTTGGAATTTACACCGAGACGCACATGATCAAAGTCACTATGCAATTCTAGTAAAAGATGCGCCATCTGAGGATATCACGCAACATCCGAGCTCTCCCGCTCACCCGCTGACCCGGTGCTTCGCATGGTGCATAATAACGGGACCGTGGTTCAGAAACCCCGTATTATGACACGGGTGCATGGACTTCGTGGTCGCAGTATCAGCATCATCGCCATCGCATTACGGGCACACCCTCAGGCGCTGTTTATAGTGCGACTAGTTGCTACCATTGCTTCCCCACAATAGTTATCACAGAAGCTATATATTGGCAATACAATATGTGTTAGAGCCACCATAGGGCATGACTGACCCAGTCAGCAGGATTGTATCGTCAGCCACAAATATGTATGAACGCAATGAGACCCGAGTAGCCATTCAAAATAAGGCAGCCAGGTCAATTAAACGTCCACGATGTCGTTCTCGGAACATTCTTAGAGGGCTTATATCGAAGGTAGGACTATTCGACCAAGCGTGACAAATTGGTTCCTGGATCTGCATGTACGTGGTACACCTGCGATCGAGATGAGGTCGCCGTGCGTTCATCAGTGAAGGGGAGAGAGTTTGATTGGAGCGGGCGTGTTTGAGGAACTGGACAGCATAACTCAAATTTGCCTCGTACACGTATGCGAATCAGACTGCGGTGGAGAGCATACTTGTCGGCTAACTGTACCCTCATTCTGTCAGAATACAATCGATACAAACATTAATATTGACGTGAGGACACTCGTTGAAATGCAGTTGTCGCATTGCGAATGGAGGTAGAAGGATGCTAAAGGTAACGACAGAAAGTTTTCCAGCAGAATTCCGCGATGCACGGTTGCACGTGCCGGCGCTAATACTCATCTGGTATCCTTGCAGCTGCCCCCCTCAACCATCCTATCCGCAACCAACTCTCACACTCAATCCCAACATCCTTAGCCATGTCGGCTTTCGCCTGTGAACCCACACAGGAGGTTTCTCATTGAAATTGTCAATTATGTCCTGTCTCGATCCGGAAATTCAACCGCGAAACGGCATATCATGCCCCGATTCCCCTTGCGCATCTTCCGCCTCCCCTACACCCGCGCCGCACGCCGGCGACGCATGTACACGATGCTTACCGCTATTTGCGTGGTAATTACATTCATACTGCCATTCTACGTCATTTACAAGCCTCCAAACCTTCTGATCCGCTATTTCCAACAAAAGTGGCCAGATGTGCTATGGCACGTGCCTGCTTCTACTCTGCGACGAAATGGGGAAGAGATGGATAAAGTCGTTGCCTTGACGATCGACGATGCTCCTTCAGAATTTACGTTGGATATTCTCAAGGCATTAGGAGAGAATGAAGCAAAAGCAACATTGTTCGTCATCGGAGGCCAAGTTGGTGGCCGAGAGACCATTCTCCAACACGCAGCAAAAGCAGGAATGGAATTGGGAAATCACGCCATGCATGACGAGCCATCTCGTTCCTTGACGCAAGCAGTTCTTGAGTCAGAAGTTCGACAAGTAGAAGGATTTATCAATGGGACCTATGATGCTGTCAATCTGCCGCATCCACCACGATATTTCCGACCTGGATCAGGCTTCTTCAGCACAAGGATGCGCAGACAGATTAAAGAAATGGGCTATCAGATGGTTCTGGGTAGTGTCTATCCTCATGATCCGCAAATTGCTTACCCGAGTGTGAACGCACAGCATGTACTGAGCATGGTGCGGCCTGGGAGTATCATCATATGTCACGATCGGCGAGAATGGACGGTCGTGATGCTGAGAAAAGTGCTCCCAGAGCTAAAGAGAAGGGGCTATAGAATTACGACAATCTCTGGGCTGCTCGAGGCAGCAGGGAGAAACAAGGCGACTTGATGCATTCAACAGGATGTTGCAGAAATGGAAGATTAGTGTTGGACATAGCGGTTTACGTGTTCGATGTGAACACCTCAAGAACGACTAAAGATGATGAGATTTATAGCTATGTATCTCTTAGGGAAGAGTTCTCGTGCTCAAACAAGCCTCCTATTGCATGCGTTGACGTTCAAGGCAATGCAGGGCCTTGGTCTCAGGAATCCGAGTAGATGCATTGAGGCATGCCTATCGCGATTCCGCCGCAATGGAACGGGTCGAGGCGTGCTGGTACCCCATGTTCCTGAACCGACACAATATCCGATTTGAGGAAATCCTGGTAGTAACTGGCTTCACTCGTGCGTAGTCTTGATTTCTGGTGCTACGTTGTTTTCAACATCAATTGTTCTTCAAGTCCTGAGGATCTACCAAATAAATAGCGGAGAAATGGTGCGAATCGGACTGTTGCATTGAACAACATAGTTCGAAGAAGTGGTTCGGTGTTCAAATTAGGCATCTTCGTTCCTAGCAAATGCACTACAAATGCACTATCTCGATTGAGTTAGAAATTGTTAGTGCAGTAATCCACGGGCGATGTTGCCTTGTCGGCACGTGAGCGCGGGACTAGCGCGATCGCGTTCCTTCCTCCTCCAAGTTCACGGTGCGGCGCGTCATCCTTAACCGTTAGGATTCAACCTCACCAGAGCGGCGACTGATGATTGTCACGCCTTGACAACACCAAAAATGCCCGCGTAAGTACATTATTGAATCCGCAGCCCTGATTTTACCTTGATGTGCATTCCAGTAAACAGGAATTAATACAACTGCAGGCCAGGCGACCAGTACAGTGGCGGCAATGTCAAGAACCCATTCGAAGAGCGCGTCAACAGCAATTTCACAGCATCAGAGATTGCTACACTGCAGACCAAATTAAACAAGCAACTTGGCCCGGAATACATCTCGCAACGACCCGGTAATGGTGGTGGCAGAGTGGCGTACTTGGAGGGGAACAAAGCCATAGCGCTTGCGAATGAGGTTTTTGGATTCAATGGCTGGTCAAGCTCGTTAGGACAGGTACAGATTGACTATGTATGGCTCATTATTCCCAGTGGTAAAACGCATGTTGACAAAGGCAGGTCGATGAGCACCAGAATGGCAAGGTGAGCCTCGGGCTCTCGATAGTAGTGAGAATTACGCTCAAGGATGGCACATACCATGAGGTCCATACAAATGCTCGTAGTATTCTGCATCAAGCTGACACAGTCTTAGGATATTGGCTACGGATCGATAGAGAACGGCAAAGGCAAAGCCGCATCATTCGAAAAGGCTAAGAAAGAGGCCGCAACAGATGGCCTGAAACGCTCTTTACGCACATTTGGCAATGTTCTCGGCAACTGTTTGTACGACAAAGAATACCTCAAAAAAGTCCAGGCCATGAAAGTCAAGCCCATTAAGTTTCAGGAGGATAACCTTTATCGCCATGTCGACTTTGCACCGCGACTACCTCAACCCGAGCCACAAGCCATAGTCAAACAAGAAGCCCTAACGACACCAGCCAGGCCGGACCAGCTTCTTCGAACACGTACCGATCAATTGAATAATGAGTCTTTTGGAGCAGACTTTGATGACGAAACCGACGAGAATTTATTTGATGGAGTTGATGTTTCCGAGGGGCATGGAGATGAATTCTCTTTCTCAGAAGGTCTTTCTGCTTCTGAAACTACAGCGCCACGCACAGTCGAGTCAGGGAAACCAAAAGCGACACCGTCTGGCCGAACTTCCCCAGTTAGAAATACAAGGCCTTCTCGGCAGCCCAATGGTAGGCCAATACAAGCAGGTCGCGGGCAACCAGCAGCACAACAACAACAGAATCCACCCAACCAAGGGCCAGGAAGGCCTTTACCACAAATACAAAACGGCCGACAACCTCAGACACCAATTCAGCAGCAACCACGCCCAATGCAAAACAATGGACGTATGCCTCCACCTGCTGCAGAAAATGGAGCTGCATCAAGGTCTGTTGGACAGCAAAACCAACAAGCTCCAAATAACCAGCCCCCACGACCCAACCCTCCCCAAGCACAACAGCCGCCTAACCAACAACGCCAAGTACTTCAGGCCCAACCCACAACAACGCCAGCAACGAATCCAACGGCCTCAAATCAACGACTATCTGTTGGATTCGTTACCTCCCGCGCTGCTGAGCTCCTCCAAGCATCCGAAACGCCCACATTAAACAATCTCCCACAATTTAATCCCAACGCAGAGTCTCCTATTCCAAAAGAGAAACGAACTCCTGGCATCGACCACGCACGTAGTGTACCCATCAAACGTGAAGCCGTCGGCGCTCCCCCCGCCCCTCAACCTGCACCCCAACGACCTGGCGCCCCGTCAACAGGCTCTTTCAACCGTCCAAACATAGTGAACCCGCATCTCGACAGCAACCGACGAATCGGCATGCCCAGTGCGTCCAGCTATGCTATGAGTCCTAGTGCGAATCGTGGTGCTTACAAACCTCCTACATTTGCCAACGGTAATGGGCCAAATGGCATCAAGAGGGAGAGGGCAGCCTTGCAGGACGTTAGTAATGTGGGTGTCAACGGCCAAACGGCTGCTGTGGAGGGACCAGACGCAAAGAAGCAAAAGGTTGATACGCCGCTGGGTGCTGAGAACAACGCGGGTGTTGCCAGCACATAGAAGGCGGGAAATTGGTGGTTTGGAACGGCCGCAGTGCATTTGTAACATTTATCATTATTTGTCATGATGAGCGTACTACAGTTGGGGTCAAGGCGTTTTTTTTTGGCGTTAGATACCGTAACGGTCACGTATGAAGTATGCAATAGTACAATTTAAGAGCCCTACGGCGTTACAGTTGAAGTTTGGAAACCATGGTATGTCTCGGTTGCCCTTGGCCGCTTCTGCATTTAGAGAATTTTTTTTGAGGGGGGGGGTTTCCGGTTAAGGGATGAATTACGTGACTGTTTTCCAGAAGCGATTGGATGAAGATTAAATTTCCCTAACTCTTTCCATGGTTGCTTGTGGACAAAAAGATCCTCTCTCCTCCCCCTTTTCTTAACCAAATTCTTGGTACTTTTATTCTTATGTTTTGTAGTAATTTTTATTTAGACGCGCCACAAGTGGGTGAACGTTCTGTGGTAGAGTGAGGCACAGAATGTGATGTGAAGAGGGAGAGAGGAAGTAAACCAAATTCGTTATGCCAATAATATTTTTTAACCATTCCATGGGGAAAAAATGTGAAGAGCGCTAATGCCTGAGGAAAACACAAAAAAAAACTACCAAAGGACCCAAACTACCAATAGGTAAAAAGGATGCATACATGTGGAACATGTGGTCCTCTTTTCTAGAACCTTGTAGACAGTGTGGGCTAGAGACGAAGAGAGAGAGGTAAAATGGGAGCTAGAATCCCCTACTATTCCCTCATCCGTTTGAGGCTGTTACTCGGTGCACTTCCATTCCCGCCACCACTACCACCACCACCGTTGTCCTCGCCATAATACATATTAACTTCCGTTCTTCAAAGAGAGGGGGAGTTATGTCAACGTTGAAAATCACAAGGCCTCAAGCGTGACAAAGATGCAAGTGAAACTAAAAGGGAAGAGAGAATGACCCCTAGATATCTAGGGATTACCTCTTCTTGCTTCCTGGACGTGGTTTGCATTCATCTCCGAGAATAGGGTGAAGCTTGATTTTGATGGGGTACTGCTGGTTGTTGCCTCCATAGCCCTTGCTCCAGTCGTAGCTGACTGCATATGCGAAAATGTTTCCGTCTTTGCTGAAGCTTGTCGCAACGATGCTGCCGCCGACTTCAGGGTAGCCCTTGAGGCGGTGCTTTGCATCCTTGTCCCAGAAGTGGAAGGTGCCGTCAGAGCCAGCAGTAGAGAAAGTGCCGTGTTGTGGGTGGAAGGAAATGGCGTTTACAGAGAAGACCTTTGCGGTTTCGCGAGCGTTGGGGTCGGGCTGGCGGTGACACTTGAAAGAGAAGTTGAGGCTGTGAGTGTGTTAGGTGGGCTCTCTGATCCATAGAGTTTGGAAAGTATAAAGTGCTTACCTGGTATCCTTGTCCTCGACGTATTGGATGGCGCATCGGCCCTCGATGGAGCCAACAGCGAAGCCAGTTGCGTCTGTAAAACAGCTAACCACCCTTGTCTGCCACTTAAGTGGACTGGTGATAGTTTTGTAAATGGTCGTGGGGTTGGTCAAGTTGACCATGTGGATGTGGCGCTCTGCTGTCGCAATGACGAGCAATTGATCTTTGACATCCATGCTGTAGACGCGCTCCTGACATTGCAGCGTGCCGACGGGTTCAGCACCCTGTAGATCCCAAAACTTGACCGTCTTGTCCCACGAGCCAGTCGCGACATAGTCCTTACCGCCAGTCTGGAACCAACGGACGCACTTGATGGCATTCTCGTGGGCTTTGGCTTGCTGGGCGGGGACAGTACCGCTGGCCGGGGCAGTACGGAAGTCAACAATATTGAGCATACCTGTTGAGTCGCCGGCTGCTATGCGTGTGCCATCCTACATCATGTTAGCACCCTGTTCCATACTGTGTCGTTGCTCTCGTAGACGCACCTTTGACCAACCCACACCCAGAACATGACCCTGGCACTCAAACATCCACTTTCCCATTGCACCGTTGCCGTTGACTTCGTAGATGTAGACCTTCTTGTCCCAACTTCCTACCGCGAGGAAGTCGTTGGTTGGCGAGAACTGGAGATCGGATATGCTGTCGCTGGGTACTTGGCCGGCTGGCACTTCGACATCTTTGCTTGTGTCTCCCGTTGTGGAGCTGGTCGCAGCAGGCGCCGCGGCTTGACCGAAAAGCGCCATGTCTTCTGGCTATGTGAGGTTTGTTGCACACAGCAAGATGTTGTGATGTCTTTGTTGTGGAGCTTTGCGCAACCTGCAATAGTGGACCTCGCGGCGGAGCGATAGAGATATTCGGTCGCGCTCGATGGACGAAAGTTGAGGCGCGACGGGATATTTGGAAGCTGGAGGAAGTGATTGGAACTGCAGCGCAACCGAATCTTATGTTCTTGACCACCAACGCGCCCCAGCAAAGAAAGAGCGGCTGTACCAAAGCTTCCCAGGCACCCTTGCAAGGCACCAATCCGCCTTCTGCCTAGTGTGCCTAGCGCCCGGCGTTACGATTCCCCGATTCCACCTAAAAACTCGACGCACCATGCCAGCTTTCTTCTCTCAACGTTCCTCGGTCGAAGAATCGCAACGAAGCACACGCACAGAGCGCATTTACGGCGTCTCTTCCCTCCAATGCTTTGGGAGAAAGTCCCCGGACAACGATCTTCACGATCGCACTTTTAGCAACGAACCGCCATAGAAGCTGCGGCTTCCATCACCGACTACGGCACTTCTCCGCATCTCCTCATCGCTTTTACTCGAATTCCACTGGCGTTCTCGACGCTGCGAGTGGAGGGGCTGGCACCTGGATGATGACATGAGTCCGTTGGCTACCTTGCTTGCATGCCGAGGGTCGCAACAGAGAATCGAGGAGTTGGGAGATGATGGACAGTGCTAGGTATGGAGGGTCTTCTCGTCCAGTTTATGGTTATGCGATTGCCTTTCCTGCGCTTTGGTAAAACAAGGTGGGCTGGAGGGTAACTCAATGGGGCTTATTCTCGAGGCGAGGAACGTTCACCTCAAACATTTTTCGGATCTGAGGATAGCCGTCCTTTCGCCTTTGGCGGTGACGGGCTATACCGTGCTTGGTCGAACAAGCCGGATTCATCCAGCCAGACAAGGTTCACATGATGAGAAACATTAGAAATAGAGTCAAGCTCTGAGGCTGTCTGAATCCCAAAGTGGTAGGACGGCCTTTGCTGAATTTTCTACGACGGTATCTGAAGAACCTTGCGGCTTAAGTAGCTTTTTTTTCTTCAATCGAAGCAAAGTTTGCTCATGAAATGTTTGTGTTCATAATTGCCCGAGTGGTATCATGCATCGGCTAAACCTGTTGGTGTCTGTATTGGGCGCTTGCTATCCACAGCTCATGCGTCAGCACCGACAATGAAGTCGCGGACCTCTTTGTAGGCCTTGTCCAAGTCCTCGTTGATGACAATCTTGTCATGCGGTGCCTCTCCGCTGTGTGCAAAGTCCAACTCAACCTTTGCCTGATTTAATCTCTTTACAATAGCCTCCTCCTTGTCAGTGGCCCGACTCCTCAGTCGCTGCTCCAGGACCTCCATAGACGGTGGCTGGAGAAACAAGAATCGCGGACGGGGAAATGTGGGATGGTTTGCGACTTGCTTAACACCCTAGAAACTTGTTAGTTGTGCCTGAGTCTGAAGTTGGTCATGTTGTTGCGTGCCTCCATCTCGATATCCAGAATGCAAATCTGACCCTTCTCTGCAATATCGTTGACAGCCTTGATGCTCGTTCCGTAGTAGTTGCCTCCAAACTGCGCATGCTCAACAAACCCCTTCTTTTCAATCAGGTCGAGGAACTCTTCCTTGGTCACGAAGTAGTACTCCTTGCCATTCTGTTCGGTCCCCCGGGGTGCGCGCGTCGTGTGGGATATGCTAAAGCCAAACTTTCCAGGAAACTCTTCGAAGAGGCGCGAGAGGATGGTGGATTTTCCAGCGCCGGATGGACCACTGATTACAATGGGCTGGTTCGCTGAGAGGGCGTCTTTGGAGACGGGGGCAGTGTCGACGGGAGCCATAGTGAAGGCGCGGTGGGTGAAGGTGCGCAAGGGAACGGGCTTGCAGACACTTGGGAAGTATGCGGTGCTGGGTTTTGGTAGCGGAGAACGAGTTACTCGCGCAATGCAACTTCTCGAATCAGTCAGTAGGCTTCGCGATAGCCAGGAAAGTGTCAATGGCATGCCTATCGTGAGCTGGAACAATGCGGGGTGTTGATTGGCGGTGAAGCTAGGGGGTCTTCGGTATTTGGTGGGGCGCTCCAAGTGGGATGGTGGGCGGGACCTGTGACATCGCGTTTTCGTGTAGTTACTGACCTCATTGACCTGGAAATTTGCCAACCCTTGCATCGCCTTGCCCATGTTTCGCTAATTGTTTGTGCATGAGAGCGGTAGAGCGGCCACGCTTTCAAAATGGTACGCAATACATGTTTCTATCTAGATTTTGGTCTGACAGCTTGCAGTCAAAACAATACCTTACCCTCCACACAATCGAGTCGGCCCATCCCAAAGCGAGCGACATCTTCGCTGTAGCGCCGACTAGTACACAACTTCTCTCAGCCTCTGGCGCGAGCAGCATCAATGTTTACGACACCACAAAGCCCGAATTTCCAGTTATACAAACACTTGACAAGGCACACCCGCTCGGCATACACCACCTAGTGACTGCGCGCGAAGAGAAGGCACGACGGGCTGCGAGTGCTGGTTTCGAGGGCAAGGTCAAAATATGGAGCCAGAGTGAAGATGGAGCATGGAGTGAGGATGGAGAGATTGTTGGTGGGTACGCCTTGCGCTTTCTTTGCCATCACAATTGGATCATCCATGTCACTGGGGCGAGTGCTGACTTGCGTTACAGATCAAAACAAACCGGGTGAGGTGTGGGCAATTGCAATGAGCGCAGATGGGCAGTACCTTGCTAGCAGCAGTATCAACGGCAAGATAAACGTCTGGAGCTTGAATAAAGAAGAGGGTATGCCCCGCATACGCGAGTACGAGACCAAGGGTAGCTTTGGTTTGTGTGTAGATCTGGTATGCCCTTGGCGGCCTTTTTTAGTCCTGCTTGGGGCGTTACTAACAAGTAGACAGAGCCGCGACGGCAGTTTCACAGCTTCGGGACATGAGAATGGCTCGATATACGTTTTCAACAACGACACTGGGCGTCTAGCGCACTCTCTAGCAGGGCTCGTACACCCAATTCGCAGTGTGGCCTTCTCCCCAACTTCGAAGCTCCTAGCAGCAGGAGGTGATGCCAGGATCATTGCAATCTACAACGTCTCTTCGGGTGAGCAGGTAGCAAATCTCACAGGACATGGTGGCTGGGTACTCAGTCTTGACTGGAGTGACACCGGCGATTATTTGCTGTCGGGGTAGGATGCAACTACGGATTCGCAAATTCAAATATTAACCTCGTCTCTAGATCTTACGACTCAAAAGCGAAGGTATGGCGGTTCGAGACTAAGACGTGCGTCGCAACCCATTCGCACGGCGACAAGCCTCTTTGGAGCGCAAAGTGGTTGCCCAAGGTTCCCACAAAGAGCGAGATGTTTGCACTGGCGGGAGGAAACAACACTATTGGCTTGTATCGAGAGGCTGCTGGCTGATTAACGACTTGCTGGATCGGATCGTGCTATACTGCATAATGTAGGACGGCGTTTGAGCTGACAACGCTCGCTGAAACCATCACACACTGCTGCCTTGTAAAGCTCCAATCATCAAGCTGATGGTGTTCGAGGGTGTAAAGTGGACATGGTAGAAACATTCGCCCTGCAGTTGCGATTTGACAAACCTAGGTAATCGTCATATGAAATGCCCATACCTCAGATCAATTGAGAACACAAATTCATGCAATCTTCGTCACGCTGATCATACAATAGTACGTGATATATCTACGTAACTGTCATGATCCGTACCTTCTATCTCTCACTGAGGGTTAGTAAAACAATAATTGGCACTCCCAGTCAGACTCTGGATTTGATATCAAGTGGATGGTGTCGTTGATAAAACCGCAGGAACGAATAACACGGGCGTTTAGCTATAGCACAAAAATCACATGAACTCTTGCTTGCACAAAGCAGTTGTGGTCCAAATGGCAGGTGCAATTGGCCCTTCGTGTTTGTATTGCTTCTACTGTAGTCCCTGATTTTTACATACTCCCAAGGACGACAAGAGAGACACAGCACTACTATCACTATTGCTACCACAATGCGTATCCTCAAAATCCCTTATTCCCTCGTTGCGGCCGACGTTGCGGCCGAAGATGCCGCCACGAGAGGCATCGACGACTCTCCCCAAGCATCCTCCTGCACCCGACGCTTCGGAGCCGCTCACCACTGTGTTTCAGATATCCTTCCCATCGTCCCCGAAAACCCGCCGTTTTTTACACACTGCGACCCACCATGGACACCATATAGCTATACGCTATGGCACACTCTAATCGCCAGATCCCAAGGTCTACAAGGGGGCGAATGCCACGAGGTCATCATCCCTGGTTTTCTCTATGAAGATATGATGAAATGCCACAGCGCATGGGTAACCACTGGTCGCATCCACAATGCTGTACTTGAGAATTTGCTCGAGACTCTGAAATCCACAAAAGCAGGCCAAGAACTTGTTTCACTTCTGGATGGAGAGAGGAAGTGGTTCATCAGGCTCGATCACATGTCGCCAAAAGACAGTCCCATGGGGGGTGTATTGCCATCATTGACGCTGCGAGATGCTATGACGAAGCTCTGTACGTCCATGCGCACATACAGTTGTCTGCAGTATGAGAAGGTGCACGCAGAGAAAGAGGAACGGAATATGGAGATTAAACTTGTGCTCAACAGGTGGCATGAAGGAATGGATCCTGGGAGGGAGTTTAGGGTCTTTGTTTCACCTCCTGCCGCGGCCCAGGCAAGAATAACAAATCACCCCATGGCCGCTCCCAGACCGGACGACTTCAAAATCAGCGCCATTAGCCAGTACAGATGGACCATGGTGTTGGCGGCGCCATGGGGTTTCACCCTGGAAGAGATAGTAGCAAAGGTCGAGGCGGGAGCGAATGCAGTCCTTCAGGATATCGTTACGTACATGAAGGATGAGCTAACGGAATGTGTTATTGATATGTTACTGGAGCACGGGTTCAGTTTTGATGTAGCGCTGGAGCAGGACGGCACTGTTCAACTAGTCGAGATCAATCCTTTCGGGGCATTGTCGCCGTGTGGAGCCTGTCTTTTCAACTGGATACGCGATGGTAAAGTGCTTTATGGGATTGAGGAGGCACAGTTTGCTGTGACGTTGGATGAGGCACGACCGTAGTTTCATCAAGCTTGTGGCGTTCGACTTGTGGATGTACAAGTTTCTCGGGCCCTGAAAAGAGAGGTTGCGTCACCAAAGTTTCTTCTTCTCGACCCAGATAGATTTCCTTATGAGGAAAAACAAAACAACTTGTGTTGGAGATTGGGTAGCCCCTTGCTTAGGTAACGCATAGTTGAGGAATTTCGGTGGCTCCGTCTGCCAAGAGAGGGTAGGTCTACCCATCGCATGCAGAAGCGGCCCCGCCCGATTGGATCGAGACCTGTGAAATCCTCCGTGTCTGTTTCATTCGCCGGTGTCTAGAATCGCCCAAGATTGAACGGCATAGGGGACGTTATGGGCACGACGCTGTCTGAGGCGCTGATTCGCCACTTGTCGGATCCCCCCGTCACAGCGACTGCGTACCAAAGCGTACCAAAGGGCGGCACAACCGCCGCCACGCCCTTAAGCCTTGCCACTGCAGATGCTTCATTTGAATCCCCAATGGCTTGTCCAATCTGTTACGTACATCTAGAAAACGTCCTCTTTCCCTACTCTGGACCGGCCCACTTTTGTCGGGAATGTCTTGGCTCCTGCGCGATAGGGGAATGATCTCCTTTTGCCAAGCTGGTTCTCCACAAATGAAACCAACTCCACTGGCCGCCTATTATATCTCATAGTAGCTATAGCTGCTGGTAAACTCACAGCCAGCCGTTACGAATTTCATGCTCGGCACACCTAGTCCTCATTAGTTCCAAGGCCAATAGCAAGAGTAGACGAGCTCTGCCGCAGAGGTATCCTCCTGCCTAAACGAACGATGAAACGCGGACAGCCTCCCGTTCCACCTCGCTGCCGCAATGCGGCCTGTAGTGACCTAATCACTTCAGCCTCATGGCTAATGAGAACTCCACTGTATCCATCTCGACGATGCCAATCAAGTCTGTAGCAGATTGTACCATCGGCTGATCACGTCGATCCCGCGGTCAGCCTCACATCCCCGTGTACAGAGGACATGATTTATAAATGCTCGTCTGCTTCAACTTGAACGATGCCTCACCACCTCACCACCTCACCACCTCACTCAAGTCCCTTCTACTTATTCCTCTGGCTAGTCCATTCATTCGCTCATTCCTATATTCGTTTCTTTGCAGTTTTCGCTCTCTCCTCGTACTTCCGCTAGTCGCAAATACTTCTACTATTTGCAAAGATGCATTCCTTCAAAACCGTTCTTGCTCTTGGAGCTCTCCTGCCCTCGTTCCTTGCGCAGGCCAGCAAGATTATCCGTACTCGCAACGAGCACACCATTCCCGGATCGTGGGTTGCTCGTATTGAAGAGAATGAAGCCCTCGAGGCTGTTCTCTCCACTGTCCTTGAGGCTGCTGGTATCGAGTCTAAGGAAACCTACTCGGTTGGAGGTGTCAAGGGTTTCACTTTCGATGCCGACGATACCATCCTGGATATCCTCGAGAGCATGGGAGCCATCAAGTCCGTCGAGCCTGACTACAAGATGTATGCTTCCGTTCCAGTTGGCAGCTTGAAAGCGCGCCAAAACAATGGTACTCTTACTTCCCAGAAAGGTTCCCCCTATGGCCTGGCACGCATCTCCCATCGTGAGCCTGGCTCTCGGGATTACATTTTTGACAGCTCTGCTGGCGAGGATACCTTTATCTATGTCATCGACACTGGTGTCAACACCGAGCACACTGACTTTGGCGGCCGTGCTACTCTCGGAAAGAGCTTCATCGCCGGATCCGACGGCGAAGACGACCAAGGCCACGGCACACACTGCTCTGGAACCGCTGCTGGTACCAAATTTGGCGTAGCTAAGAAGGCCAACATCATCGGTGTAAAGGTCCTTGGTGCAGACGGCTCCGGCAGCAACTCTGGTGTCCTTAGGGGCATTCAATGGGCCGTCGACGACGCCACCGAGAAGGGCCACATCAACCGCACCGTCCTCTCCATGTCTCTCGGAGGCCCCTTCTCCCAAACCACCAACGACGCCATCCAGTCCGCCGTCGAAGCCGGCGCTTTCGTCGCCGCTGCCGCCGGAAACGAAGGCGAAGACGCATCCAACTCCTCCCCCGCCTCCGCACTCCAAGCCTGCACTGTCGGCGCCACCAACGAGCGCGACCTCAAGGCCTCCTTCTCCAACTTCGGCAAGCTCGTCGACATCTTCGCCCCCGGAGAGAAGATCCAGAGCGCCTGGATCGGCAGCTCCACCGCTACAAACACCATCAGCGGAACTTCAATGGCTTGCCCCCATATTGCTGGTCTCGCAGCCTATCTTATTGCGCTCGAGGGCCCCCGCTCTCCTACTGACTTGTGCAAGCGCATCCAGGAGCTTGCTACCAAGGACGCTATCACTAACTTGAGGGCTGGAGAGGGTAGCCCCAACCTCATTGCTTACAACGGCAATGGCGCGTAAATAATCTTTTTACGCTTGCTGGGATTTTAGGGGGATGGTGCGGACCAGCTTACTGTGGATCAGTGTGCTTGGGACAACTAAAGGATAATGTATTGTTGAGGACTTTTTTTGTACATTTTCTTTGCCATGGATTTTTGATGGCTTTTTGTGGATATTTTGGGGACTTGAGAGATTGAGTGGAGTGAAGGATATATATATATATCTTTTGGTGTAACTTGTTACAAGAATACAATGGTATACCATGTTGTAACAATCATTCTGATTTCGTTCTTGCAGTTTCGTTTTTGTGGACTACTGAGTTTGCAGTTAACTGTGAGATTACAGTAGCTTACTTGATTTTCAATGTGACGAATGATGAGCCTTCCATAAATTCGGCCCAATTGTCGAAACTCTTTATTAGTGTCGAGGCATTTGAGTCAACCTTTCTTGAAATGCACTTCGATGCGCTCAACTCAATTGGGCTCTTTTTCATGGAACAAACCTGAACAATCTTTTGATACCCGATTCCGGTAGGTTGGGGTGTGACCTGCCATTCTTTTCTGAGATAAGTGATTTGATACGCTATATAGCAAACAGAGGTAAAAAAGCGTCAAGCCACAAACTTGAAAATATATTCTCTCAATTGAGCATGATCATCGTCTTTTTGTATCTCATGACATAGGTCTCCAGTGAGGGGGATTTTAGAGTTCGTCACGTGGTAGCAATACTAACCAAAGAAAGAGATTCCTAACCTATCCGCGTAGATTAGACAAGTAGGAGCAAAGATGCTTCGAGCCAATTGAAATGCTTTCTAAGCCCCTGGACGCAATATCGGTATGCGACTAGAGCTGCAACAAGGAGGAGTTTGCATAGCCTTTACCGATGATAGTATGTGCCTATCCAGGCCCCCACCCTTATTGACGCTGTAAATACCGCAGCCGACTTCGCTGCCAGCCGACCCGAAATGTACTTGGTCGGCATCTCGGGATGATTTCGTGTTTCGGCGGGTATTTGGATGATGGGCTGATGTTACACATGCTGACGCTGCCAGGTGGTGGATGACCGTGACTTTGAACATTAGTATAACCTGCAGATTGCTTTACGACAATGAATGGCAGATAACATCATAGCATGGGATCACCGATTCTATGTTGACGCCTGGACACGTTCGGGTACTGTAGCCAAAACTTGACTGCTTGTGTCTCTGAAGAACCCTTTCGAAATATAGTTGGCAGCAGAAAATCCAGGCACATCGAACACTGTTCCGCTCGCCAAATGTCTAGATACGAGTAAATAAAAAACCTTGGAGAACATGCAGTTTAAACACTACTCAGTAGCGTCGCTTACGTAGTAAGTGTAATGCGAAACAGCAATTTCGCGGCTGAGAGGATAAATGACGATAAGGTTGCAGGATATGGAGTCACCGCGCCGTTTCGCCGCTATAAAATGAGGACATCAATGCAAGCAAAAAGCCTCTTAAACAGATGCATACTCTAAGCAGAACGCAAACATGGCGAAATGTACAAGCCCACCAGCCAAGTTGGTTTCCCCGACTTTCCCGTGGCCTGAGCTTGCCATCTCACCGCACTACCAATTTGCTGCAGCAGAATCAAAGCCTCGGTGCATGCAGGCAGTTTCTAGAGGATATACATGATTCGAGAAAATGGTCCAATTGGTAATGCAAGCCACATGCCAAGCACGTTTGCCCCAATTTCCCCGGAGTCCGAGCTCGCCATCTAGCCGTATCAGCCACCGTAAAACCTGGGGTTGTATACTTCCACCACTCAACTCCAACATAACAAGCCACACTTACGATATCCGGCATCGCCGTTTAGTTTCGCCAAGCACGCGATGCGTAGCCGAGATTCGCCAAGTTAAATAGTAGCAGCCATATAACAGCTTTGGTATGGAGATGTGCCATACGGGTTTCTGGACCTGCTTCTCGATGCGCCAGGAGCCACTTTTCCGGAAGAATTGGTCGTTCATACGGTGTGCGACATTGCAGTATACTTTTTAGAGCTCTAGAGGTCGATCATGACAGTAGATTAAATGGGGACAGTATTGCCCACTGTTTGCCACCAGGTGGTCCATAAGAGTTCACGTATTTTATCACTGTCTTCTGCAAGTCAAGATGAAGCTGTCGGCCCTCTCCCTCCTTTCTTTCGCTCTATATGCGACCGCAGCGCCTACAGGCTCCGATTTTAGCCTGGTAGGGTTCGCAAAAGATAACCCAATTGGCCCAACAACTGGTGGTCAGTCCAAGGAAGGCAAAAGTGTCACTGTGGAGACTCTGGCCGATTTCGTCAAGGCAGTAACTAGCACCGAGCCTCTTGTAATTTACGCCAAAGGCACCTTCAACCTCACCTCGCGAGTCCAAGTCCAATCCAACAAGTCGCTCATTGGCCTTGGAAAAGGTGCTCAAATCATAAGCCATGGCCTCAACATTTACAACAAGACCAATGTTATCATCCGCAACTTTGGCTTCACCGCCACTGCCGACGACGCCATGACGATCCGCAACAGCACGCGTATTTGGATCGACCACAACGAATTCACCACTGGCAACTTCCCCGCGCTAGGTCCCGATGCATTCGACGGCCAAATCGACATCATCCGCGCCTCAGACTGGATCACCGTATCCTGGAATTATTTCCACGACCACTGGAAGAGCTCGTTGGTAGGCAACAGTGACGCCTTGCGAGACGTCGACCAAGGCCACCTCCACATCACCTACCACCACAACTACTGGCGCCATGAAGGAACACGAGGCCCCGCCGGCCGCTTCGGCCACCAGCACATCTACAACAACCTCTATGTCGACTTCCTCTACCAAGCCATCCACTCCCGAAGCGACAACCAAATGCTCGTCGAAGGAAACGTTTTCAAGGGCAACACGCGCGAGGCACTCAGCACATACGGTCTTGTTATCCCAGAGGACAGCCCGAACACCAGCCCCGACGGCGACTTTGAGATTGATGGCTTTGCAAACTTGGGGGCGAAGAACGATTTTGGCAAGGCGGGCGTGAATATCACCCAAGTTGGAAATTTCACGCAGGCGCCGTACAAGTATAAGCTTACGCCGCTGAACAAGGTGGAGGATGTTATTAAGAAGGGGGCTGGTTTGGGGAAGATCTGAGAGGGGTCCTTTGTTAGATCAGCCTTTTTGTAAATAATGATGTGAGTGAGATTTGAGTAATGAAAGTGATATACCCTTTTTTTCTATTTGTCGTGGCCTTGTTTGCATGATTTTAGCCGGTTATCCACAGAGTTTTTTCTTTTCCAAAACAAAAAGATAACCTCGGTGCTGCTCGGGTTTACAGAAAGCAAATAGGGTCAGGCTAGTGAGCGAAGCTTACCACTACTTTAACATCTTCTCTGTCAGATTTTAGTGGGTTCACTGATACGTTTCTGACTGGATACTTATACACCCATGTTGCGAGTATTAGCAGTTACTTTTTAGCAATGTCTTTATGATGAAAGACTCTTGGCGTCAGCTTTCTGGTATCTGGATGAATTTGTACAATTTGGGGTTTCAATGTCCTACTGAGCATGTTGATTTCGACAGCTTAGCTTTTGTGACTAGCTGCACCTTACCTCATGAACTTGTTGTCCAAATAAGAAGATCGAAATAGTAGCTTGTGAGCCAGCGGATATCCAGTATACGGTTGCTAGGGTTGAGTTGGAAATGTCATCGTTTAAGAGACCCAATCACGCCCTCCTGAAGTATCACAGTTTCTTTGCTTTGGCTCATGTTTTGAATTCCATACTTGAAGAGATTCATAACGTCTTTGGCTGGTTGCTCAAGTCAACCATAGCCATACATGTACACAAGAACATTACACTATCAATGCATGCAAGCCTAGGCATGGGCCGCGACACCGCCCAAAGGCCTTTGTCCTTGGGGGTTATTTGGCGCAACCGGTTGCAACTCCTCAATAGCCTGGTCATACTCGTTGCTGCTCATGTCTGTGCCAACACCATCATCCTGCTGCCCGCTGAACATCTGTGCGCGCATAGCCTGCTCATCCTCAATCTGCTTGGTAGCCCAGGCCTTCCAGTTCTCCCACTGGCGGTCCTCGAGCTCCATTCCAATTTCAAGTGGCCCCTTGCCAAAGTAGGCACCAACGTGTAGGGCTTCTTCTTTTGCGATACGTGAGCGGATTTCAGAGAGGTGGCGGTGTTTGTAGAATTCACGGCGGGCAACGTCGTATGCGGAGGCTTTGGAGAGAGAAGCGTTCTTCATTAGCCACATTTGGCGTTGGACAACGCTTCATTATGTTAGTATGGCCACATGGGAAGCAGTAATATTGGCTCGACGCACCTTTCACCATCTAATTGCTTGCCCGGCTGTACAATCTTGCTCCAATCATAATTCTTTGAGTCATTGCCGCTGTCTTCAACTACTAGCCTCGGTCGTGCCAGTTCCCATGGGTGGTCACCGAAGAATTCTGAGCGCAACTTGTCCTCGGGATATGCGATGGGCAGTGGTTTGAATAGTTTGCTGGCCTTGCGCGCCTTGCGCATCTTGGGTACCCGCAGCACTGGCCTCGCAAGTGTCTCTCCCGGGGGAATATTTCCAATAACATCGTACCATTGCGGCAGTTCTGGGTTTCGCTTTGCGTCGAAGAGGGCCTTTGCGGTTTGGCGGACGCGAAGAGGGCGGAAGTCGTAGCGGCCCATGGCGGGCAGTGTTGATAGTTATGCTCTCACGGGAGCTATATCATGTGAAAGAACTCTCGGGAGCTTCTAGAGGGAGCGGAAGTCGTCTATGGGGCACAATGGGTGATGTCGTGGATATTATCGTCGTCGTTCTTGCCCGCGCAAACTCCGAAGATTTTGCCAAGACTTCACGACATTGGAAATCTTTGGATGGTCCATGTGCGGGCATCTGCGCATCACCACCAGTATCGTCATTCACTCGCCCTATGGAAAGCTCCCCAATGAGCTCCAAGTAATCAATTGTAGCCGCGCTCGCAAATGGAACACGTCTGAATAGGCTCCCACTGACACGATGCTCGACCTCTCATGTCCCTCTTCCGTACCCTCGACCGGACCTCCGCAGTCTCAAATACCACCAGCGCACGACCCTTTCTTTCCTTTTTGTGTCCGGCCCTCGACAGGAATACATCAAAGAGGAGGTTTAGCAAGAAGTCGATAGACAATGCGCCATCAGCACCCAGACAGATACCCCACATGGATACTTTTTTCATCCAGGCATTGGTGCAGGCATCATCGTGCCCAAAGCATGCAAAGCGGATGCCAAAATTGTCCAAGGTAGATGCAGTTTTGCCAAAAAAACACACTGGGCGGTGGAGTAGCACATGGTCCAAGCCAGACGAAAAGACTCTTAATGCCAGGTTGCAGCGGAGGGGTCCGTTCAACAAGGTCAAGGACTTTGCTGAAAAAGAGTTGCAAGCTTTGGTAGACTACTATGGCATGGAGCTTGAAACAGGCCCCGAGCAAGATGTTCCCGATGATGGGAAACTGGTTTGGAATGTTGGAGACAATCACGAGCCATGGCCCCTCCGTGACCCAACAGACGCAGTGCACATTGAGAGGTTGGAAGGATTACTCAAAAATGAAGAAGCATCACATGACGAGATGTTCGAGACGTACAAGAAGCTACCATCACCCGGAGTTGTATACCTCAAGATTGAAACGATAAGAGCTCTCCTTCACCACCTCGCCATTGTGGAGCGTCCTACGCTAACCGCAATGCAACGCTACCTTTCTGTTCTTGACGACATGAAGAATGCGCACATACACATCATTCGCTCAGAGTGGACATCAGCGATACACCTCTCCGGAAATGCTATGGGCAAGATAGCTGAAGACAAGATCCAGTCAGCTCTCAGCATTTGGCGTGACATGGAGCATCGGGCTGGTATTAGAGGTGGCTATGTGACTTTCAACGTCCTCTTTACCGTGTCCGTAAAGTCCGGAAAATACACGCTTGCTGAGACTTTTCTCAAAGAAATGCAAGTTCGAAAAATGCCAATGCATAGACATCACCGTGTATCGCTTCTCTACTATTACGGCGTCCTACAAAATGGCAACGCGGTCAGGAGGACATATCAAGAACTGGTTGCAGCTGGAGAGATTGTGGATACAGTGGTTATGAATGCTGTAATAGCATCCTTAATCCGTGCTGGAGAACCTGCAGCCGCGGAGCATGTTTTCGAGCGCATGAAGCGCCTGCATGCCTTGCGCGCATCTCCAGCACCGGGCCACACGTTCTTCAACCGCAATTGGCGTGATCGTCGTCTTCTGGGAATGCACTTTAGAGACGAGACACGGAGGTTAAGTCATGAAAAAAACGAGGAGGAATTAAAGAAGCTGCAAGACTTTGCGCCCATCGCGCCAGACTCGCGCACATATGGCGTCTTGATCCGCCATCACGCTGGGGTAGCAGGTAACATCGACCGCGTCCACGAGCTGCTTCAGGAAATGAACTGGAACTCAGTTCCCTTGGAGGGCACTATCTTCATCGTGATTTTCCATGGGTTCAACACTTTTGGCGGCGTACGCTACTCATCATGGACAGCCTCGAAACTTGAAAAGATCTGGCAGCGCTATCTAAAGGCTCTCAATGAAGACCTTGAACGGACGTGGGTATCCAGTCTCTCAGTCATCGCGGCTCTCAGGGCTTTCGCAAAATGTACGGCTCCGGAACGCACATTGAAAGCTTGGGAGGAAATCCGCAGCCTGTGGCACCAAGCTGATGAACAGGAGTTGGAAACTGTGCTGCGTGCGCTGAGGAGGCTGGTGCCGAGCCAGTTGGAAGCTCAAAGACCAGGGTTCTTTGATGGCAAAAGGCCGCTTTGAATTATTATATACGATGAATCCAGATGAATCCAAATGGTTTCCAACATTGGGTCTTCATCTTTGATGCATGGGGTGCCTAATAACACAATTCCGTAGTCACAGAGTGGGGCAACCAGTACTCCACAAATGCTTTTTCTTATCTATCACGCAAACCTCCCAACCTGTTCGTGCAGGGTTGCTGAAACAGAAGGCGGGCAGGGGATCCACGAGCTGGTGATCCACTGTTGTGCAAGGGTTTGGATTTAGCCACAGGCGCTATATCCGCCCAGCTGAGACTCATGTAGGTGGCCTTGAAGGACTACATGCACATGACTTGTGATGTGAATGGAGATGGGGTCCTACAGATCTTCGTACAAAGAGCCACGAAAATAAACATGAAACAATGACGGATGAATGTATCCGGAATTGTGGGATGAGCCAGACTGATTATGACCCACGTGCGCGTCAACCCACTGTTAGATTTTGGGTGTTAATGACGGCTTGACTGTCTTCTTCAGTCTCGAGCCTTGTTCCTCGCATCCGTATCTACTCCAAAGGCTCTGAGTATTAAGATTGATATAGATGGCAATTGTGTTGGGGGTCTTTGATTTCATTGCGCTACCTATCTTTGACATGGCGATCGTGAATATAGTAGTGTGACCAAAAACTAGGAGCACTGGCCTAATTATAAGCACCTATTTGTAGATCAAATGAAGAAGCAGCATCCTAGTTTCTGAACTTTCAAATTCGGTATACTTGCTCGTTATCACTAAATTCCTCTAGTTCACACATGATTTCCTTCATTAGCGCTTGCGGCCTCTCAATTCAATTCATTCGTCCTTAGACTTTCTCGCACTCAACTGGGTTACTTAATCGACATCTTCGAACGCAGCAAATGTGTTTGGCGTTAAATAATCGGATATACACGGGCAATCTATCATGAAATTAGGTAGTTGCTGTTTCACGAGCCGGAGATGACATTAAATTTACGCTGTTTTCACACTGATCAAGAGCATGGACATGCTTGTAGAACTATTTGAAATGCTCTAGAAACATTGCGAACAAGTAATGAACACCGGCGCTCTTGAATTTGGTTCCGGTGTTTGAGAATGGCAGGTAGCTTCGTGGTTGAAAAGGGAAAATCATTTATAAATTCATGCCCAAGGGCACGGTATTTTGTCGCACCCGTTCCGCATGTCACGATCGAGATTTAGGTAATTAGTGTTACGAGTTCGATAGAAATCTCGATATACCTGCTCTTTTCAACCGTATCTTTCGTATCTTCCCGGCTTGATACTACTATCGCTCAAGATGCTGGCTCCACCTATAACAAGAAACTACTATGTAGCTCAGAAGGCATACTCGCCATATTGCAGGATGGAAAGGATCTCCAACAATGAAGGCGTTTGGAATGAATCAATGAACCTTGTGGCCATCTTCCGGAAATGCTCCACGATTCTAGTGGGCAGGTTCGCCGTCTTAATCCAAAGCTGAGTCGGAGATTATCGACAAACGTTAATTATTCTCCACTTCCGGTCGCCAACATATGGAAAATTGCGTGTACGTATGCTAATGAAATAGCACCGTCCAGTGCTACGTAGCTTCAGAACTGTTGAACTCGTTCGCCAGTCCATTATAGGTATATGGGCCTATTATGACCGAGGCGAACACTATCACGTGGCCTTCGATTACTGAGCCAAATGATCAATTAGGCCTAATACAATGGGACCGGACCAATGATTACGAAGCTATAGCCCGCGCCGTGGTCCCACGGTCGGGGGTTTCATCACCAGCCAACACTAATTACAGTAGTCATCTAGACACAGCTAGTGGCACCTTCCGTGTTCGTAGTCGGCCACGTTCGTAAACTATATCCGCCGGTCAGCTTTCCGCCCGACGGCAGAGCAGATCGGCTCTCTTAGGCTCAAGCTCATTAGTAAACAGATGGGTGGGTGAATTCTGTTTGCGTTGAGCTAGATGCGTAGTCGAGCTGAATTTCCATTATAGCAACCACACAAATACCATGAAGATTTGTATACATCGCCGAGCACGACTCGCCTCCTGTGCTTCTCCGATATGGCGCATTCGATGTGCGAACGCGGCTCCTTAAATCCGAAGCCTTCCAAGCTACGAGGCTTTATCTGCTTCGATAAGCACCTTCGGCGAATGAGTGCGAGCAGTCTTACCAATCCATTAAATGGTGCCTACACAAACAGCCCGAGGGTATTACTGCATTGCAGACCGCTTGACTGTGTTTGTCTTCATAGAGGTCCATGCTACTTAAAAACCCGTACAATTTGGAGCTATGGACCTAGGTATACATGTGCGTTCTAGAAGGGATCTCTCAAAAGCCGCTACTTAGGCTGGACTCTTACCTTTCGCATCGAAGATCCGCTGTCCCCCGGGTGTGCGCGAGAAGCCTACAACTGATTGGGTAGCTACTTCGTAAATGGGTCCAATAAATATGATTGATCTCTTTTAATCTTGTCGGCCCGTATACCATGCAGTCAGACGGCGTAGCTGTTTCCTACCGTTGCCCGTTATGCGCTGACGCGTGTCGAACAGACAGTCTGCGACACTGATCATTTGGACATTTGGATGCGCATCTGTAAAAAAAAATTGTGTACGTTAAGATGCCCACTTGACTATCACATCACACGACATCTGGGCTCATTACTAAATTGTGGGCATCTCCCCTTGTTCGCTGTGGGAACATTATTCGGCAGTCTTTCTTCCAATGGCTGGCATGCCCTCTATCAGTGCATCGGATTCAAAAACATTCAGGGGATCGTGACGCAAGCATGTCACTTTTCGAGTCTGAGAAGTAGCGCCTAACTGTATGTACATAGTCAGCATCCTGGCCAAGCGCAAAAAAAACCCTTGCGTAAGAAATGAGGGCCGAATCCTGTCGGGACGGATTTTGGCTAGCGTGTCATTGCTAAAGAGTAGCTTATTGGCCAAGCGCATTCGCTTTACCTTCAGTATTTTCAATTCGCCCGGAACTTAGCTCCTCTGGAACCAAAATGGCGATCCCAACGGATCCTTTGTCGCAGTATAGTCATGGCTCCTCTCGCCAGTGACTCGCTGGCCGCGTAGGATTGAGTCGGGTTCTTGGGCGTTCGTTGTCGTTCTCCTCCACGCTTTACCAGCTATTCTCTTCCGCCACATTCCCCTCCTCCAGTGTCAAATCACGACGAGCCAAATCATCCAGGATTGTTGTGCCTCAGTCGATTGTCCCCGTCAAATGCAGGGGCGATGCCCGTCTTGCGTATCAAAACACTGACCCACCGTGCCGCATACTTACTTTCTGGAGATACTTACGTATCCGGCTACTTGACTACGATCTCAGATGAGAAGAATGTGGCGTCATTTCATCCCGAAGTCTTCTAGCTGACGAATAAATTTGTTGATGAACCACTAAACATTTGTATACGTGCAAGTCAATACGACATGTATCGTACGTATGTATACAAATGGTCTGAGACGTGGGGAAATCTCGTTATCCAAACTCTGCATCTTGCTATAACAGAACGTGGGGTAACCCTGTAGTATGGGTGCTGGGGTTTTCAAGGCAGCGAGCCCTGACTGGGATCCTAGGATAGAGTTTGCACGAAAGCCTGTCAAATGCACCCATCCGCTTCCTGAGGCTCGCCTCTCGCCTAGCGTTCAGCCTCCGGTAGACATCTACCTGCATTAGCTTTGCATAGATAGCATAAAGTTAGCTTGGCAACGGCTCTGAATCGTGAACTAGCTTTCGGCGTCGAGATCTCGACGGCCCACCGACAGTCATTAGTGCTGGCTCCCCACCAGACTCTCATCGGCCGTAAGTATTCATTTATCATTCCTGCGTTGTTCTGAGCAGCGCCGGCGCTCTCGCCTCTGCACCAAGATGGCCAACGACATGTCAAGCTCGACCAGCTGGGAGGGGATGCTTGCGCAGATGTTGTCAAATCCGCCGCCAGCAGATGAGCCTCAGCCCTTGTCGAACAGAAAAGGAACCATATTCGGCATCACGCTCACTTTTTTGGTATGGTACCAGCGACTCCACACAGTGACTTGTATACTAACTTTGCACAAAAGGCTGTAGCATGGTTTGCAGTACTTTTCCGTCTCTGGGTTCGTATCAGAATTGTCAAGAAGTTCGGCTGGGATGATGGTTTTGTGCTTCTCGCTCAGGTATGTACAGCAACTTTAGAGTACGACGGCCAATCTTAGGAGATGCTGACTTGTTGGACAGTGCCTAAATACTGCAGCAACCATCATCGTGTGTATTTGTAAGTTATGCATCCTACAAACGCAGACTCGGCTAACAATTACAGCGGTCAGGTATGGATTTGGCCGGCACATGTTGTATCTTGGATTTGATAACGTGGCTACCTATTTTAGAGTATACATGTCCCATACTTCCTTGTACGAAAACATACTGACCTAGCTAGTTGTACTACATAGAACTGGGCATTTACATTTCCAATGGAGCGATTATTAAAATCGCTTTGCTATTCCAATATCTGCGTATCTTCAAAGCTGGTCGCATGCGATGGATATGCATAGGCCTGCTTGTCGCAGTGATACTCTGGGGCGCCGCCTTCGCATTCATTGCCTGGTTTCCTTGCTTCCCAGTTCGTGGCTACTGGGATCGTACCGTTCCAGCAAAATGCTACGCCTTTGGTTTCGGTAATCTGAAAGAGTTTGTTATGACATATAAGGCTCAATCAGCGACCAACATGATGTTCGACGTCGCCATATTTGTGGCACCTATGATACTCTTCGGGACGCCGAACTTACGAAGGAAGAATATCATAGCGATGGTTGGCGTTTTCTCGTTTGGCGCAGTGTAAGCTGACCTATCTTATAACATGCAATATGCTTGGACTAACAGTACCAGTGCTGTCGGAACAGCAGTTGGGCGTTTACATGGCATCATAAAAACCAACGGCGCGACCCGTCCTTACGTTGATTATACCTGGTGGACAACTACCCCGGTCATTCTCTCCTGTCTCGAAATCGCTCTGGCGATTATCTGTGCCTCCATGCCTATCTTCTGGCCCATTGTCGAAAGGTCTCTTGCCGCCATCCTCGTCAGTTACGAAGTGCAAATAGTTGAGGAGCGTGTGGATGACTACGGCCTCACATACGAACTCGAGCACAAGAAGACGAACGACAGAACGAGTATCAAAAGTAGTGGGACAAGTACACAAGAGTTGACACAGCAAGAGGAGGATAACAAGGGGAAACGGCAGCAGTTTACAGTGGGCTGTGATCCGCTCAACGAAGCGCAAAGAAATGCTGGGTTTACGGCTAACATTGAAACGCTCGCAGCACCGCCAAAATGGCACATTTGACATGAATGTTACTCTTTTCCCAATTCAGGACGATTTTCCAAATCATCAAATGTGACACCCCATGTACCGGAACGTCTCTTCCCCAGCTGCCGTCTTTCCTCACGAGACGGTCAAACCTTAATGTCCAAATTTTAGATCGCGATTGTTCCCTTATGCAGCCCCCTCACACCAAACCTCATGTAGCGCGGCAGCCCCCTCCAATTGTCGAATCAGCACATTTCCCACAAACGCTAACCATACACAGTACGGCACCTAGGCCCCCGCGATCTGAAAATCGCAATGGCAAGCTAAAATGTCGAGGCCCCATTCTTTATCGTTTCTCGTCTATTTTACCCGAATCCATACTATGCGTCAGACCCTCTTTTGGCTTCTCACAAGCCGCAAGATGCATGGCGGTGCCGATCGATCTCGGATCAGCTCTCTTTTTTTCTTTTTCCCAGTAACCATCGTATGGGGATAACCATCGTATGGGGAGAAGGTTTCATGTGACGACACCCCCTTGACCCTTTTTTTCTCATGCCTTCCTGCTTTCGTATCCTTGCTACTTGCGCTTGGCGATCACCTGTGGGTTTGGAGGGGTAACAAGGGGGTTTTCCGCCAGCATCCTGCTTATCTCGGGGATACTTGATGCTCCCGGGGATGAGGACGTCTCAGGCACGGAGAGGAGAGTACCCAGCTGCTTATGGGTGTGTCGTTTTAGATGCGCGAGTTGCCGGTGCCGTCGGCGTGGTCCTTGTTGTCTGGAACGAGCGATTGACGTCAGACAATGCGTTATGGGCTGGTCTCGCCGAATCATTTTCTCTGGAGAAGTTGCCTGCTCGCCAGAATGTAGCAGGGTAGACTACTGGAGGTATACATGAAGTATATACTCCGAAGCTTTCTTCGACAGGGATGATTTTGCGCGTACTTCGACATGGCTTTCATACTACCACTAGGTTTTACTTTACATGTTGCAACGAAACGAATGCTAGCGCTGATCTAAAACGTCTGTATTACGCCCAGCTGAGCGATAGAGCTTGGCTACGAGGGAAAATCTCGCGATATACGCGCAAACACTCTTTCTTGGTTGAACGATCATTTTCAAGGACCATCCCTCGCCCCTCGTCAAGCTCGCTATTTCATTCGTTCAGGTCGCTGTCGCCTCACAACAAGAGTACTTATTTCTCGCTTACTAGGATCCAGCCACAAAGAAGTTGCTTATCGGCTGTACTTTGGGCTTTATTATTACATACTCTGTACCCCGCTGCGGTGTTTATTTTTCCCTGTGATGATCATGGACAGGGGACTGTCGGCCGACCTGGTGTGCGGAATACGAACTGCGCTGGATACTTGACATTTGGCTACATGACAAAAGCTGACGAAGCCGGATGCCCCTTTTGGCTTGTACTTACGCATTTTGCTTCAGCTCAGCTATGCTGTGCTTTTTCGGCGCCGGCTTTGCCCTTGTGTATGGCCGACCACCAACACCATGCACATTGATCGCACGGTGCAGAGCCTCCTCGGCGCCGCACATGCCTCCCGTCGCCGCGTTGCCGCGGACCTGCACCGTCTCGTTCTTGTACCGGCCAAAATCCGAAGTTTCGTAGACCCTATCTTCAGCTTATACCTAATACCTCATTGTTCTAGAAAACGCCGCTTGCAAGGTATGTATGGACATGCATTTTTTTCTAACGCGATTGTGATGCCAAGTGGCCGTCTTTGCACGACACACCACTAAGATGAAATAGTTTCCCGGCAAGGCCGGGAGTACTGATGGAGCACAGGTATTAGGGGATGAGCTGGGTAGATGAGGGTGTGACCTAATGGAAGCATGGCCGATGAGTGCAGCTGCTGAATATAACATGCTTGTACTTGGTTCTTTCCAGCACTGTTGTTCCCATGAAACACTGGTCTGATTGGCTTGTTCCCGTGACAACGCAAATAATTATTGCGAAGTGCTTCGATATGTCTAAACTAAGTAATATGTGTGCTTCCCATTTTCGCGGTTGCGACCTCCATAGATGCATAGACCAGAAGACCAAGTCGGCGAACATGACGAGCATTCAGCGCAGTGGGATATGAACGGACCTGAAGAGATTATTTCCTATTCTTCTTTCGTGCATTCATTCTGTTTGTCTCGCTTTTTGATGTCTTTGCCCGTGTACTTTCCCTATGTTTAGACTTTCTCGCTTTGTTGTCGGTTCCCCTTCAATCTCAACGTTGGCTCAAAAAAAGGTACTATTCAATGTCCATGCGACCTCGAAAATAGACAGAGCTACTGATTTTGTATAATAATCATCAAGACAATGCCTACAAGTTCCGATGCGGTGTTAGATTAGTTTCCATCTGTGTTCGTGTAGACAGACCAACTTTACTCACACGATAATGGATAAAACTTCATGAGAAAATACGCTAGGGTTTTATAGAGAGTAGGCCCATGGGTTGTCACGGCGAAGTGAGCAGCTCTATTGCATCAATGTCAGAACAAGTGGCCAATCGCGCTGCACCCACATCTGCGTTGTGACAAGTTTCCCAGCATGATAAACCAATTACGGAAGGACATTGACTATGCTCGAAGTTTATTTGGATGTTTTGTTTTTGGTAAAGAATAAATACCAAAGCTAGGGCTCTTGTGTCGCCCTTGCACTGTCAAGCTGTAACCGCAATTGTGATTGCAGAGACAGTGCTGCGCACTTAAGTACTTTTAGATCTACATCAGGACTAGTGTGATCTTCCTTATGCGGTAACACGCCCCAGCTCAAGCTCGCGATACTGGACCCCACGTTTTCTAGGCGAGGATCTGGTGGTTTTTGTAGACGTGATATGCGCCGAGAAACCGAATGCAGCTGTAGTGCTCCTTACCACAGCAAGGGCCTGCCTGACTTGGTAAGCGGGAACTCAGGTTCTTCCGCCTTTTCTTTGTCTTCAACATGATGCATGCATTGCTGTTTTGACTGTTTGTTTTGGGGGCCAATGAAAGCTATGGTGATACCATTTTGCCTGTTAAAATGATCCTCATGCCCTTTCAATGCTTTGCTACTTGCTTGTTGAAATTTTGCACCTAGAAGAAACCTCATAGCGCACCGATATAGTTGAGGAAGAATACGATACCTTCCCGCCGAACTCCTGTTTAGTACACTACTCCACATTGGCTCTATTTAGGGGTCTCCTACTCGCAAAGAAAACGACTAGCAAGACACAACGTCACGTATTCCGAACATCAGATCTGCCGACCTAAACGAGATTTAGCCTCCCCGCCTGGCTATCGAAACTTTCCAATATTTTCATTATGGCGTCTTCTCAGAGCAGTCACGTCATAATTGATCCCACTGGAGATTCACTGATAACTTTGGAGAGCCCAGGAAGAGTCTTTGCTCTCTGGATGGAGCCCCTGGATACTTCGAGCGATTCAGAAGATGTAGGCACCGAAGATCTAACTGAAGAACTTGATTATGAAGATCACAGCGATGGAGAAGAGCTGCCCAATTGGATGAGGTGGGACGAATCAGATCCAGAGTACGATGTACAAGAGCAATCTAAGCAGCAGAATGGGCCAATGCTTTCTACAATCCCTGGAATATGGACTCATGGAGTTGATGCAACTTCCGCGGCAATTCATCCAGCCAAACCAAGTCCATCTCTGCCAATAATCTACCAGGTTTCATCAGCGCATCTCATCACAGCATCCCCAAAATTTGGAAGTGAGCTTCTGTCCTTGAGAGACAGCCAGAAAGATAGCAATAGCCTCTATCACATCAAATGCTTAGGCTGGGACCCTGAAGCCTTCGAAATATTACTCAATACGTTGCACACCCGCTACCGCCGAGTACCAAAGCAGTTGAGTTTGGAAATGCTCACCAAAATTGCTGTAATGGTCGACTACTACGAATGCTGGGAAGCTTTCGAACTGATATCTCAAACATGGATTAGACACATTCGCGTGTGCCACCCGATGCCTCAAACTTACAGCCGCGACCTAATGCTCTGGATGCTGGTCACTTGGGTATTCAAACTACCAAAAGAATTCACCAGAGCCACTGCTGTCGTATTGCGACAATGTACGGAGTCAAGAATTCAAGACATGGGACTGGGAATTCCACCATCAATACTTCGTATGTTGTACCACATCTGGGATGGCTGGAAAATTGCTCACATGAAACAGGGATGCTAGAAGCCCGACGTTCAGAAGCCATCGAGCAAATCATCGAGACATTTAACTCCTGGATCGATGAGTTCAGCGACACCTACACGTGCCAGGTCGATGCAGACTTATCCTTTGAGTGCAGTTCGATATTACTTGGTGCCCTCATGAAGCAGATGCGAAACGTTGATGTTCTATCACCTCAAGTCGTTGCGCCATTTGATGGGTTCAGTTTAGAGAAGGTTCACGAGAATATCAAAGCGATACAATCACCGATTTGGGAAACGTACGATGGAGTCAATGAGCTTTACCCTATTAAGCATGCATGCGGCTTTCAAGGGACGATTATACGGGATGTTGGACACATTGTTGCGAGGGCAAAGGGGTTGGTGCTGAATGACTTTTTGGATTGCAGTGAGAATATGGAGGGATTGAGTCTCGATTGTCCATAGGCGCTGTCGGGGAGTGTTTGGTGTTTACACTTTGGTGTTTGGTTCTTACTTCGTATATACCCACATTCACGAATGCTTGTTTTCTGGAGAATAATAAATGAACACGATACGAATGCGTCAGTAGTCACAGAATGGCGTTAGCGACCATCGAACGCAAACAAAGCGAAGGACATCAACATTTTGCTATCATCTATTTTATTGGCAATTTGGGTATAAAATCTTAGCGAAACTTACCCAAAGTCTACCTGATGTGTCTGCTTGGGGATCGAAATGAAACAGTTGCTGAAGTATGACCAAAAAGGTCAATGTCAAGCAAAAATAGCAGTGGACCCTAAGACGCCCAATCAGATAATCAATACAATATCACATGGACCATGATGACTTCTGTTGCCTGATAGCCTCTTTCCCCATTAGCAATGTAAGCTCGGTTATCGGTTGCAATTATGCCATAATTTCTATGTTCTTACTTCGTTACTGACCTCCGTCAACTGAAAAATCTCATCTCGCTGCTCTGGTAAGTGAGAAAAGAAGAAACGTCCTTCATCGGATATCTAGACCGTTATAAATAAGCTGATAACTACAATCATTCGGGAGTTCTTCTGGTTTCTATCTCCGACAACCTTTCGAAGCCGTATACTCCCTTGCACCAGGTGTCCAACAGAATCGGCGTTCCGATAATCATGGAAACTTTTGACATCAACAACAGCGGCACCTTTTGCGTGAGGCAAGACATTCACACTATATTCTGATACGATAAACATAAAATGCTCAAGTTATCTAGCGCTGCTGCCACGGCACAGATGTTTGTTTAAGGTCCGACCTGAGAAGACAAGATACGTTCTGCCTAGGAAACTCTTAATTCGCCACTCCGGACTGTTAAGACGGGAATTGTTCGAAAACACCCAGGGACAAAGCCTTGATCTAGAAGGCGTCTCCACTGAGGAGTTCGATGTCTTCGTGTTCTGGCTGTACGAGAAGAAGCTACCTTCATCAGCCCAAAGGATTGACTCTTGGATTACATTCAAAATGTACATATTCGCAGATGTATTCTCAGTGCCTGGCTTCAAAAACGCATTGATGGATGCAGTTTTTCATGAGCTTTCTTCGAGTTACATGGACAACATAACGGTCCGTAAGCTTTTTGAGGACCTTTCACAGAACGATCCATTGCTTCAGCTACTCGTCGATTCATTCTGTATCAATGGTGACATCACCAAAATGTCAGAAGATGATCTCGCCAGCATTGATAGCTTGCCAAAGCAATATCTGACTCGAGTCATCCGCAAGCTTCACCAGCTAGGCCAACTGCCTGAGAAGGAAAAAAAACTATATCGTGCAGACTACAATATTTCAGCATGTTTATCGGATCCGACTGATGAGGGCAAAGAGTGAGAGCCTTTCCACCGACCAGAGGAGAACAGATTGAGAAGGAGAAAGCTTGGTGAATGGAGTTGGACTTCAGAGTGCGACTTCACACGAAAACATGGAACTTATGAATGATTGGGTTCTTTTAAGTTTGTGGTGGAGTCAGGTCAAAGGACAGAGAGTTTGCATGGTTCAGGAATGACTCTAGTTTCTTTTGGCGTTATAGGAGGAATGAAAGAGAAGTTGCTTTCCTACCAAGACCTCGTTAGCGTGTGATGACATAAGTGAGGCTCCGCTGTCTTGGCTAGCGCCGCGCTCCGAGCTTCAGCAGCGCCATTCGTCATTTCCTATAAGCAACACTACTTCCACCACAGGTACCGTTCCTTTACCATAACCCTTTACGGCCCAGACAACGCTCTTGCATTAGCCTGCTGAGCTAAGAAATTCATCGAACAAGGACAGATACTGCGCGTTCGCAACCCAATCGAGTGCTACATCTCTAGTAATTCATAGCGTTCTTGTTAGTCAATAGTCCACCGAACTGGGCGCATATACTGACACGTCTCACAGTCAGCTTGTACACTCTCCGCCGCAATCATGTCAGACGTTGAGGCCGAGCAGAAGCGCGAGGAGGATGAGCGTCTTGATACCGCAGAAGACCCAAACGAGGAGGTACGGTCCGAGCCCTCTCACGCACGCGGAAGGCATTTGCCCAAGTTTGGCATACTGCGCGTGTCTGGATATTCATCTTGTAAGCAATAGCACTGACAACAAGATACAGGAAGAAATCTCTGCCATGAGGCGCCGCGTTCAGGAGATGGAGGAAGAGGCACAGAAGCTGCGCCAAATGCAGCAAGCCATCGACAACGAACGACACGAGATGCGCGAAAGCAAAGAGGACGTTGATGCGCGGAGCGTCTTTGTCGGCAACGTAGATTACGGAGCCAGCCCCGAAGAGATTCAGGCGCATTTCCAGAGCATCGGTAGCATCAACCGTGTCACTATTTTGTTAGACAAGTTCACAGGACATCCTAAAGGGTCAGTACTAAGAGGGGGTTTTCTTTGAAGATTTGCGCATCCTTGAACTTTTGAGGCAATTGCGCGCAATGCGTTCGCGCAAGAGCCGGAATCGCCCGTCGCGTTGACTTAGTTTCTGTCTCTGGACATTTACAAGATCGTCTTTCGCTACCTGGCAAGAGCTTGGCAGAAAGATCGGAACGCTAATGAGCGTATGCAGGTATGCTTATGTGGAGTTCACAGAACCCCATTTGGTCAATGAGGCCTTGGTCCTTGACAACAGTCAGTTCCGGAATCGCAACTTGAAGGTATGATTGCAGAAACACGCCGCATGGTTCTTCAGATGCTAACTCATCCGTAGGTTGTACCCAAGCGAACGAACCTCCCAGGTATGACGCGAGGAGGACGTGGCGGCCGAGGTGGCGGCCGAGGTGGCTACGGCGGACGTGGTTCCCCGTACGGACGCGGCGGATTTAATAGTTACGGCGCTCCTCCTCGAGGAGGCGGTTATCGAGGTGGATACCGCGGAGGAAGAGGAGGTTCTGCGTACCGTCCTTATTAGGAGTTGGGCAATAGCACACATGGATCTGTGTTGGTGGTTCAACCGTTTTATTGAAGGGAAAGTTCATAAAGGGGCACATGAAATTGGAACGGAGTCGCGGTGAAGCTTTGCAACAACAAAGGGTTTTGTACTATACCTCAAAAGGTCCGCTGGGGGGATATGCTGCTTGGAATATGGCATCAGATTTGTCCTCATTTCCACCACCCGGACATAATTTTCTTTCAAAGGAGCACGCAGTTTTAATACATCTTTCGGTAACATCTGTTTGAGACATTGCAAGATTGTGAGATGGGTGGCCAATTTGCAAGTCAATAGTGAATGCTATTCTGAAAGCAGGACGCTATCAATGCAGTGAGAGTTCAGGTATCGTAGCCCAAAAGGTGCTTTTCTCTGCTTGCGCATCCTCTCGCTTTTGGGTATGATGCCCCAGACGCCAGGACCCGTCATGGTAGCGTCAAGGATGCTCCACAATGATTGCGCTAAAGCAAAGAAGCCAAACAAAAATCCAAGAGCAGTTCGTCTCATCCTCTGATCTCTCTAATCACTGGGGACAACCCTGTGTTCGAAGGCATGGCTTGTGAGACCTCCGTATTCCTCGGTCGCTATGACAACGATAAAGTATCTGCCGTGGCCCTTTCAGCGGAAGAGGCACGCGCTACAAAAGCTGCTACTTTTTCAACCTTTCTCAGCCACGCAGCACCCTTTCGCTCCTCTTTCCACCGATGTGGTGCGTCATAGACGAGCTACTAGGGGGCTGGGTTCTCCTTGACGATCTGCCTGACTTTGCGCTCGTATGCCGCCTTGTCCTTCTTGAATAGATTGAAGGCGTCGGCTTGCGCCGGCGACTCCGGGTTGGGCTCGTCGAGCAGTGACTGAATGCCCAGCAGGATCTCTTTGATATTTATCGCAGGCTTCCAGCCTTCTTCTTCGTTGAGGATGGAGAGACAGACGGTGCCGGAGGGGTAAACATTGGGGTGAAATAGTGGTGGCACGAATTTACCTGTGGGTTGACACGTTAGCGGCAAGCTTTCAGCATATCAGGGCACCTGCGGTTCTACGGCTGAGTGCCTCGGGCAGAAGGGGAGAAACATACACTTTGGTGGCTTTGTTGGGTACTCATCTGGGAAGGTGACTTCCAGCTTGAACAGGCCGCCTTCCCAAATAGTCTTTTCCTTGCCTGGTACACCGCAATCCCACTTCTTGAGGTCCATCATGCCGTTGGCGCCACGCATGGGCTTTGCGAAAAAACCAAAGGGATGATCCCGTCGCCATGACTTTCTGGTTGCACTGTTAGTAGGTAAACAGGATTCAGGTACGGCTGATTGCGCACCTCTCTTCTGAGAGCCGATTGATGCAGAGAGACATTGCAGGTGCAAGTGCGAGGCTGGAGTTTGCGCTTGAGCTGTCCTTTATCGGGGTTTATTTCAGGCGTTGACAAAGAAGGTGGCGTGTTTTTTGGGCGAGTTGTGAGCCGCCGGTTGAAGAGTGTGTGGGCGTCGTAGTTATGTACAGGTGACAGTGGTGACGAAGGTGAGCGAAAGCGGAACGAGACAAGGTGAAGTCGAGTTGCAGGTGCACGTGACGTGACAACAATTATCTCCCCCGGGGCGCGTCACAGCGTTGGGATTGTCGTCTCAGTGCTAGTCTAGATCCCGCTGGTAGTATTGGGAAGGTGCGATGGCCGATCTTGCCCCGCGCTAAACAGTGCCCCCCGCCTATGTGAGGGTACATACCGCTGGGCCAGCCGAGGCTGACGTTGCACATGCGTTTGGCTCATGCGTATTCTTTACCCTTGCCTCTCCACCTTATATTCCCTATCCTCCACCTGACCACCTGGAACTGAGTGTGGGCAAGCATGGCGGACACAACTGTGAAGCAAGCAGAAGAGCCGCAACCGGCTAAAGCAACACCTGCCACCACCACTGCCCCTCCTCCACCCGAGGTTGCATCGGACCCCGAAGAAGACGACCTTTCTGACCTTGACGATGTACTGGATGAATTTGCGAACACCAAGCTTGATACCAAAGCACCGACTGCCTCGTCAATAGAAGCTGCGTATCCCAAATCTGACAAGGCGCCCTCATCCTCCGGACCTGGCAGACCGCCCGAAGATGTGTCACCAGCAGACCTGTTGCTCGATGATCAAGAAGAGTTCCAAAAACAGTTGCAAAAAGAAATGGAGCAGCTGCTTGGGCAAGGCGACTTCCAGAAGCAATTCGAAGAGATAATGAAGGAGATGAGTGAGGAGATGGGGGGCGCAAACCCTCTGGACGCTGGTGCGCATGCACATAGCGAAGGACAAAAAGCTGCAGGAGCACCTACTTCGTCTGAAAAAGAGACTGCTGCAAAGGCTGAGAAGAGCTTCCAGGAGACAATCAAAAAGACCATGGAGCGCATGCAATCTTCGTCCGATACTGCCGCATCTGCCGCAGCATCTTCCTCCCAAGATGACATTCTCGCGCAGATGCTTGCGTCCATGGAATCCGGTGGCTTTGGGGGAGAGGGCGGCGACGAGGACTTCAGTAAAGTACTTATGGGCATGATGGAGCAGCTTACGAACAAGGACATCTTGTACGAGCCAATGAAAGAGCTCGACGACAAGTTCCCAAAGTGGATGGAAGAGAACAAGGCAAAGGTGGAGAAAGATGACTTGAAGCGATACGAGGAGCAGCAGACGTTGGTCCGAGAGATTGTGGGCAGATTCGAGAGAAAGGGCTACAGTGACGATAACGCACAAGATAGGGAATATATTGTTGAGAGGATGCAAAAGGTATGCTATCCCTTTCAGAATGCATGTTGTGATATAATACTAATAGTCTATAGATGCAAGCCGCTGGCTCACCGCCGCCAGATCTAGTCGGCGACATGAATGCTGCTCAAGAAGCGCTGCAGGATATGGATCAGGGCTGCCCGACACAGTAGCCTTTCCTTGTGTGGTCGCCTGTCCGCTTCATTCTTCCCAGATACCCTTCCTGTATACAAAATGATGCTTTCCCCGCCCATTACACCCCTGACAACGTATAACTGCCTTATGAATAATAGGTTGTAATTGGGAGAAGCTCAAAAATCCATCATATCCGTATCCATCATATCCTCTCTTCCAAAGCCATTCTGCACCGTCTGCGATGGCTGCTCCGACTGGCCGTCCTCAGCCATTGCACATTCCATGAATATCGAGTCGTAGTCTTCATCGTCGCTACCATAGTGATGTGGTTGCACATCAGGTTCCTGTTCTATGGACGCAATCAACTGTTGGAGCTCGTACTCCTCTTGGGCGGCAATGTAATCAGCCTCAGTCATGTCAGAGTCAAATTGCGGCGCGTTGTTGAACATGTTAGGTAATTGCGCGTCCTCGGAAGGTTCCTCAATGATATCGTCATTCACAGGCGGTGCCTGACGCGCTTTCTCTGCTTCCCAGCGCTTGCGTTCTGTTACAAAATCCAGTTGTTGAATCTACGTCATTGATTAATTTTTGGTTTCTCAAGGGTATCGTGTTCAAGGACATACCTGTTCGCCTCGTGACTCCCATTTCTTGTCTTCGCGGTTATTTTGCACCCGCTTGAAGAACATATCCCTTCGTCTCTTTGTAGCTGCATCGCGCGTTTGCATAACTGGGTTGGATTTGAATGCGCGCTGTGAAGTTGCTGATTGTTCCTTGATAGGCGAAGACATTGTGAAGTCGAAGATTTGAGGTTGCACGTTTCCGGAGCGCTCAGATAGTGGTGACGAGCGTGGTGGTGTGTACGGAGAGCAATGCGCCATCTGGTGGGAGAAGAACGACGTTGTGAGGAGCATTTTCAAGAGTGAGTCGTTGAATGTGTTGTATTCAGTTGAGTGGATAAAGCGTAAAGTGCAGACTGTAAAAAGTGTCAATGTGGTTGTATGAGGGGTTCAGTGTGGTTGTAGATGGGAGGCAAAGTAGGTGGAGCAGACGCGAGAGGACGCGCGACAGAGGCACGGTGGTCTGTGCACGCTATCGATAAGGAACACGCTTAATGTTCCGCGGCACGCCCAGGCAGTACAAGGATGCCAATAATTCCTACCAACACGATTCAGATGAAAGAAATCTAGACTGTATCTTGCTGCAACCTCAGGTCTAGCCCACGGAACTTGCCCCCAGAACACTAGTCTGTTGAGATTGGCATAAATTTCTCTCATCGACTGCCATGGCTTCTGGGGGCATAGAAATTGTTGTGAAGCGGCATATGTACGTGTTGTACATGATGAAGAGATATTGAAAGTCGCCATCAGGAACTGGTCTGAGGACTGATCAAAACGTGAGAGTTGAGTGGTCTTTGTGCTATGGAGGGTACATGCTGGTCTAATGGACAATGCATAAGCATGTACATCTGTCGCAAGTTCTGTTGCTAGGCTCTCGCGTGTCACACGCGCATGCCCTGGGAAGCCGAAACATTTGCCGCATCTGTAGCACACATAGATGCACAGATGGCAGGTATACTTGGTTGTGATTTTACTGACGTATGTATGGCTTGCGGGCAGCATCTCGAACAACTGAACATGGTACCAACATTTGTCATGACGTCAGATCGATCCTTCCAAGGTGTACAGTTTGCCACTGAAGAGTATCGGCATATGGAGATGCATGACACGAATTGCAAATTGCCATGCTTACGCTATTTTCACCGATGTTGGACCCACCTGAATTCAGCTAGTCCGCCACACTTCCCTTGACCAGACAGAATACGCTAGTGCTTTGCAGTCTGCAGACCCGCCATGCCGCTGGTCGAGATGGTTCGTTTGGCGTGGCGACATGCACACTTGCAACTTCACGCCCCCACGATACCCAGGCAATTGCTAAACCAGGCCGCCTCTGCACCTGCTCCAAACTTCAAAGGACGCAACATGGGTTCTAGCGAAGCTTGTACTAGATGTCACCTGCCCCCTGTGTCGCATTGAAGCGCATCCATTATCATGAGCCAATCTCCAACCAGTCGCGGGGCGACGAAGAAGAGCCGTTACGACATGAAAAGAGAACGGAATGTTCGGCTTCACTACGGGGCCGCCTTCTGCAATATACCACGCGTTGACAATCTGGCCACTCATGTCCCCCACCCATCTCACGACTCGACTCTGACGGCTTTGTGTCAGCTGACCGCTATCCGCATGGGAGGCCAGAGAGCTATGATCTCAATTCTCGAAGAGGAAAGACAACATATTTTAGCAGAAGCTACCTGTGATTCCCTTCTCCACCCAGACACAACAAAGGAGGCGCAGGGTTCGTTGTGGGCTGGAAGTGTTAGCATTCCTCGTAATCTGGCGTTATGCGAAAATGTATTGGATCTTAGTGGTGAGAATAATGTCTTGGTTATCAACGATCTTGTGGAACATAAAAAAGCTGACCTTCAGGGTGCTGTTTACAGCAACCCTGATGCGCGCTTTTATGCTAGTATAGCACTTGTGTCTCCAGACGATACAATAGTCGGGACGTTATGTGTCTTTCACAACCAACCTCGGGACGGCCTGACCAGTGAGCAACTTAGTCTTTTCAAGGATCTGGCATCGACCGTTATCGGGTACTTGGACACATACACAATCAGGGATCAGTACAGTCGAGGAGAAAGATTTACGCGCGGCCTTGTCTCTTTCGTCGAAGGTGCGACAACTCTATTGCCTTTTGAGCACACCGAACAACAAAACCCATCATCGACACCTCAAGAATCTCCCGACCTATCTTCGGAAACAAAAGGAGATCCTCTCTCTACATATGGCAGGGGAAGAACGGAGGTGGACGATCCATCACCGGACAATTCGCCCTCCCCGACCCATAAGGCAACTACCGCGAGATTTGCAAGGCATCAAGCAATAGGAACACTTCAAGACGCTATTCTGCCCATGGACTCAAAATCAATGTTTTCTCGTGCGGCGAATGTCATGATGGCCTCGAGTAATTTGGATGGGGTGCTTATACTAGATGCAAGCGTGGCAGCAAACGGAGGCCAACAGCGCAGCAACACCACTTCTCGAACCAGGAGCAGTGTCGATTCTCTTTCTGAATCTTACCAGTCGGCATCTTCTAGTGAGGGACCGAGTTCCAACAGCACAGAGAGCAACTCGTACAATGCATCTTCAAATTCCAAAACATGTAAGGGCGATGTTCCCTGACTTAGATGTAAGGTAGTAACTGACCTTACCCGAAATCTTACAGGTCAGTCGCTTGCAGTCGCTGTTTCTAGCGAAAAGCAGAAATCAGCATTTGGTTCGTTGTTAGAGTCTGATCTTGCCCGTATGCTCCACGGATATCCACATGGCAAAATCTTCACTTTCACAGCTAGCGATATATTTGTATCCTCGGATGAGACTACCTCGAGCCCTTATTTCACCGAAGAGTTACCTAGAATGGCTTCTTCCAAACGCCAGACGAAAAACTGGTCAAAGAGATGCTCGGAAGCTATCCAAACTATGTTTCCCGAAGCGGCTAGCGTTGCTTTTGTTCCATTTTGGGACTTTGAGAGGTCACGGTGGTTTGCAGGCTGTTTGTGTTGGAGCGATAACCCACATCGCTTACTCTCTCCCTCTGTCGATTTAGTATATTTCAAGATTTTCAGCAATTCGATCATGAGGGAATTGTCAAGACTGGATGCTATGGCTTTGGACCAGGTAGGATGAGAGTTTATATATGCTGTTTCAAAAGCTGCGAGGACATTCCGCCAACTTAACATTACTATTTGCCATGCATACAGCTCTCCTGTCCATGCTTAGCTAACAATTTCCTAGGCTAAATCGACATTTGTGGCTTCTATATCTCATGAGTTGCGATCTCCTTTGCATGGAATATTAGGCACACTAGAGTTTTTTAAGGACACGCCTCTGGATTCATTTCAGGCCGGTTTGCTTAGTTCTTTGCATGGCTGCGGAACAACCCTTCTTGACACCATCAACCAAGTCATGGACTATGGAAAGATCAGTGAGTCAAGAAACAGCATCTCTTCGAAACGAATCAAGAGCGACAATACCATAAGGCTGTCGTGCAAGCCAGTGAAGAGCCGAAGGAAGAGAGATCCCGCTTTCGATATTGGCACTGCGACAGAAGAAGCTGTAGAGGCTGTATTTATAGGGTCATCATACGTCCCTGTCACCGCTAAACACATCGAGGAACTTCCATCTAGAACAGCGCATGAGTCGACTCCTCTTCCGAAACGCAATGTATGCTTTGTCATACTTGAAGTGGCATACGAAGACGATTGGATTTTCTCTTTTCCAATCGGATCGTGGAGAAGGATAGTCATGAACTTGTTCGGAAATGCTGTAAAGTACACAGAGTCAGGCTGTAAGTCAAATACTTTTCAATCCATCAACACTATGGTAATTGATTGGGTTGGGTTTGAAGAAGCGCTGTGGCAACAGTGTGCAAACCAAACGCGTTCCTAGAAACTCGCACTCGTCAAGTACCATAGCAACCTCCTTCTCCGAAACGAACATTTGCTGCTTGGTTCTTTTTCAGCTTAAAGATGAATTACTAACATGCGGTTTTTGTAATCAGACGTTCACGTTTCTTTGCGTTCTAGTAAATCAGCCGAAAACGCCAATGCGCCTACAACGGTTATACTTACAATAACCGACACGGGCTTGGGAATGAGTCCCAGTTTTCTCGCCAATCGGATATTTGAACCCTTCTCCCAAGAAAATCCACACTCACCTGGTACCGGACTGGGCTTGAGTATAGTCCGACAGATCATCGACATGAGCGGCGGGAAGATTGAAGTCAGCAGCCAGCCATCCATTGGCAGCAAGGTCACCGTTAAACTCGCACTTACTCATTCGGAGTCCTCAGATTTGTTGATGGCCGAGCACAGGCGGTTTCAATCGACCCTATCAAGATTGCATGGCTACAGAATCTGCATACTTTCTAAGAAAACGACAAGTTCTCCAGAGGATGCCGATTACTCACGAGCTGAAGAAGGACTTGTACGCTTCACCAATGCGCTCGCCAACACTCTCGAAAAGCACCTGAAGATGGACGTTGTAAAGTCTACCGATTCTGAATACAACGGTGCAGACATTGTCATTTGCCCAGAAGTATCATTCGATTATCTCGACATTGTCCGTCGCCGTAGGACTCGCGATCAGCGAGTCCCTGTCATTATCTTTATTGGAATGGACGCACTTGCAGCAGCTACTCTTCGTTCAGATGTCCGTGTGACTTCCAAGCAGTCTGTAGTTGAGGTCATAACTCAGCCGTGAGTATTGCTCCTTTCGTGGCAGCAGCTTAGACTAACTTGATCAGATGCGGGCCACACAAATTGGCTTTTGTCCTGAATCGATGCCTGGATCGATACGACCAACCTGATGATAATGTACAGCCTTCGAGGGCGGTCAGCCCCCTTCCCCAAACTGCAACGCATGGAGTTGAAGAACTGAGAATTTCCGTTCCGCCACCCAGCCCTGCTCAACCGAATGATAGATCATCGCAGGCTAGGTCTGCAAAGAATGCTACTAAATCTCCAACTGCAACGCCTACAGCGGAAGAAGAATTGACAGCATCCCATATACTTATCGTCGATGACAACATGTTGAACCGAAGAGTAAGTGTCGTTCTCTACACATTAGTGTAGTCCTGACGATACCAGTTACTCGTGGCATTCATGAACAAGAATGATTTACAACACCAAGAAGCGTCAGACGGTCTCGAGGCGCTGCGTAAGTATCAAGCGGACCCACACAAGTTTGAGGTGATAATCATGGGTGAGTATCCCATATTGCTTTGAAATATATCTATAGTAATGCTTACTACATGGCAGACATGTCGATGCCGGTCATGGATGGCATGGCAGCTACTCGGGCAATTCGCAAACACGAGCAAAACCACAATTTGCCACGCAGTTGCATCATCGCATTGACTGGCCTCACATCCTCAAGCGCTAGGTTGGAAGCATGGAGCTCTGGTATTGATCACTACATCACCAAGCCTGTGAATTACCAGAAGCTTCGAGAGCTTTTGAAGAGCGAGAAATCGCGAAAGGATGGGCGTAGGAGATCTGTAGAAGTCCCTGATAAAGCAACCGAAGAGGCTGCAGAGGATGTAGCTTGATTATCAGCGGCCGCATCGTATACTGATTCGGAACAACAGCACGCAAACGTTCAGTTCTTCAAAGAAGGCCACCACTAGCATCCATAAGCACAACGCTTTCCAAGACCCAAATTCCCCACCGCAAACATCAGCCACACAACAAGCACAACTCAGGGTTATCACGACCCATTTCATCCCAGCATCAAACAGCAAAGCCCTGGAACCTTTCATGTGCTCATACCCTGGGTAAGGCCTCTCGCTGGACCGAAGACACACACAACAGAGTATATAGGCAAGCAATTTGGTAAATAAAAAGAATACGGTGGTGGCATCTTCGAACGAACGCATCAACCACTATACCATACAAATATCAAATCTGCTTCTCGTTGACGTTCCCAAATGCCGCTTTCGATGTGCCACCGCTTCTGTCACCCATTTTTCTTTGCTACATACTATCTGGCGTCTTGCATGATACGGTCCCACGACTCCGCTTATCGCTTTCTTATCTTCTCGCGTCGATCCCCACTCAACGTTGGGATTTTGAGCTTCAAGCTAATTGCACGGCTAGCACTAGGAGATGGTGTCGACCCCGCATGGACTCCACATCTTTACATCGCTTTTGCTCACTTTGCAATCGTGATTGAGATCATTCAATTTCTAACTTCTTCCATCAAAGCACTGATCGGGCTTGTGGTTTAGTGGTATAATACTCCCTTAGCATGGGAGTGGTCCGGGGTAAATACTTCCCAATCATCTCATACGATATTCGCTTATTAACATCCGCATTAGGTTCGATTCCCCGCGAGTCCATCTCTTTTTGCCATCTTGCTGGCTTTCCTCAACATATTTTTTTGCCTGCCCCAAGCTGTGCATGCACGTGTTGTTATGTGCGTGGATACTCTGTTGCCAAAAAAGAAGCAGTAGAAGTTATTGGCGCAGCTGGGGTTTTTTGGTGTCATGATTCGGGTTCAATTGATATTTAGGAAGAGACAGATTAGATCTACTGCAAATGGCTGATGTTTATCAAGAAGGAAGACGTGTTTTTTTTTCATCATCTACAGAACATGTTGGTCTACTGCACAGCAACGGTATTCCACTTGAGGCCGTCGGTCAAACTGCCCATCCTTGCGTCCCAGTTATCGACATAATAGTTATCCCTTGGTTTCCAGGGCCCCGTGTTCGCACACTGGGGCATCTTTCTCGCGTTGGCCTGGATATAGGTGCTGTTGAGGGGCGAGGCCGACATTGACTTTTCCTTGTCGGCATCAGTGATGACGGGGACAACGCTGGTGTATCCGTTCTCGCGCTGGTGTCTGATGAGACGGACATACAGGCGTGAGGCGGCGTCGGAGCCGAGGGTCCACGAGGCGTTCCAGTAGCCGATGATGTTGCCGAAGTTGGGGAGGGAGGTGAACATGCTTGCGCGCCACATGTACTGAGAGCCGAGATCGACGTGTTCGCCGTCGACGGTTGTTTGCATGCCGCCGAGGAAGTTGAGGTTGAGGCCGGTGGCGGTGATGATGATGTCTGCGTCGAGTTTTGCGCCGCTGTTGAGCTCGATGCCGGTGGCGGTGACGGTCTTGATGGTGTCGGTCACGATGTGGGCTTTTCCGGAGCGGAAGGCTTTGAAGTAGTCGCCGTCGGGGCAAAGACACATGCGTTGCTGCCAGGGGCCGTAGCTTGGCTTGAAGTGGGGGTCAATGGGGAAGTCGGGTGGGAGCTGGGCAGCTGCTTGCTTGATGATGAAATTCCCGGCGACAGATGGGAACCACGTGCAGAATTTGTACAGGAGGATGGGGACGAGGGTGAACATGAAGCCTGGGGTAGGTCAGCACTTGGGCATTTGACAGAAGGGGAGAATTTGGTTACGTACGATTGTAGCGGAGGGTAAACCACTCGGGAGCATACTGCTCGATCCACGATTTCCTCTTTTGACCTACACTCATAATGTAGCTAGGGCTCCGTTGCAGCTGTGTGACGCTTGCCGCCCCGCCGTCAACCAATGCAGGTAAAAGAGTAATAGTCGTTGCGCCAGATCCAATAATAACAATCTTTTTGTCCCTGTAATTGAGATTCTCTGGCCAGAACTGGGGGTGTATTCTTTGTCCCTGGAAATTGTCGATGCCTGGTATGTCTGCCTTTAGAGGCTCGTCGTAGTTGTAATATCCAGTGCCCATGATCAACCACGAGGTCCAGTAAGTGACTCTCCGGGGCTCGCGTCCGACGTCATTGCCGACTTCGACCTCGACCCTCCAGCGCTGCTCGTCGGTCCTCCAGTCGGCGGCCAAGACTTTGTGCTTATACCGGATCTTCTTATCAATGTCGAATTTTTGCACCGTCTCTTTCAGATAGGCCATGATGCTCTCTCCTCTTGCAATAGGCTCCTTTTCGCGCCAGGGGTTGAACTGGAAGCCTAGCGTGTGCAGATCCGAGTCGGAGCGCACACCGGGATACTTGAACTGCGACCATGTTCCGCCGAGTTCGTGGCGCGCCTCGAGGATGGTGAATTTGACGTCTGGCAACGACTCTTGTATGCGGTAGGCGGCGTTGATACCGCTGATTCCGCCTCCAATGATTAACACATCAAAGTACGAGTCGATCATGGCGGGTAGCAAATGCAATGTGGTGGTGTGATGTGTGACACGGACAGGTGAGCAGATACGGGGAAAGATGGATTACAAGGCCAGGTATTTGTAGTGTTGTCGGGCGGTGAGACCAGCCGGCATTGACATGTGTACAAAAGGGAGCCCGTCTCCACAGCCTGGTACATAGCCTTTTGTTCATGGCTCCAGACTAAAGCTGAGCAGATGCGGCGACGGAACTCAAAATTGCTGTAATGCCGTCACCCCTGTATTGTGGCTGTGACGCTGGGTGGCATAATTACATGGTAACAATCTAACTGATTCAGGCAAGCATGCATGTCGGGTTCGGACGTTCGGACTGGGGCGTCGCCAATGTCTCCGTCGTGCAAAAGCGGCCTCACTCCTCGGCACCAGAACAAACTCCAGCCTCGTCGCCACAAGAACAACTAGATGTCCCAGCCTTAGCGCATGACTGTTTGGGCTGATAGGACGAGAATCAAAGCCATCAACGGCAGAAACAAGACCAAACACTCTCTCAAAAGTCTGGTTCAAGCAACAGTTGTAACTATCATATCGTACCGTATTGTAACCGTGACTACGATCCTGACCCCCACACTCGCATGGTGAGACGCCTGCGCCCAGTCCGCCCCGCCCCGCGCGCCCCACCCACGAGGCACAGCCAGCTCCGGTTCACTGTGATTGGGGCGGACACTTTTTCTTCTTCTTTACACCGTTGCATTCGAATACATCGCATTGGAAACCGCAGGCGAATGAACGACGTCATCTCCTCTTTTTTTTGGCGCCGAGGCAAAATGTCTGCGGACAAGTCGTGGTCCCAGACTCTGGTTTGAATGGTGCGCACACCTTACTGCAAACAGCCTACGCCCGCATGTTGGCGAGCTCCGGTGCGGGTTCTCGCTTCCGCTGGTTTGATGTGTGATTGGGTGTTGCACGTTGATGTGTGAGTCGGACAAAGTCATCGCAGACTCGAGACTTCCGATGTCCGACTGCCTCGGTATCGCTTTGTGACCACACGACAGCCCTGGCCTGGCCAACGACTGCTATGCACTACATTCACATGTCTCTCGCAACACTTGCTTTGGCAGGCTAGCGCACATACACATACACGCGTGTGCGGGGTGGTGAAATAAGACTGGAGGTGGTATCATTCGATCAACGAGAATAAAGCGCTCTATTGTGCATCTAGTTCAGGCAAAACCCCGCCCGCTACAAACTCAAATCTTTATAGCGTCTGCTTTCCTCTTGTCTCAATCGGCAAGATCAGCATGCTGAAGAACGCAGCAATGAACAAACCACCACTTGCGTAGATGGGCGCCTTGGGGTTACCGCTACTAGCGAAAATGGCGACAATGGGAGCGCACAATCCAGCAACTCGGTTCAAGAAACTGCTGATGCCAGTACCAGTACCGCGGATAGGGCCTGGAAAAACCTCGGGAGTGTATGCGTATAGCACGCCGTACATGATGTTCTGGAAAAAGGCTTCCAAGCAAGTAAAAGCAAGCTGAAAGTCCGAGTCGCTCGAGATTGTGAACAGAAAGACAAAGACACCAGTGATGACAGTCGCAATAGCCATCGTTCCCTTGCGGCCCAGGAACTTCATCTCGACAGCATAGCATGCCAAAAACGATCCAGGAACACCGACAATGGCAGTAATGGCATAGTTGCGGTACACGGTGCTGACGTCGTTTTCTACTTCGCCTCCAGAGTTGGCCAGGTATTGTGGCAGGAAGGCGTTGAACAACGGGTAGGCCATGCCGATAGTAGTCCATTGGAACCACAAGAGTACATTCGTCAATCCAAGCTTCTTGTCCTGGAAGAGGATCTTGAAGCGGGCAAAGGAGAAGCGGCTGATGGAGCGCTTGATGATTTCAAGGCTGCTAAGTTTGACATCCTCGCCAGTCACTTCCTGGTCGCCTCCAATATAGTTGAGAATGTCCTCGGTAAGCCACGTGTGCGTCTTATTGCAATACGCAATTCCGTAGACGGTTGCTACAGCCTCAGCCTGGCGGCCACGTGACAGCAGGAACTTGGGCGACTCATAGAGATGGAAGAAGAAGAAACGCGAGATAAACATGGCAAAGGTGATGGCTCCAAGCGTCAGGATGAGGTACCTCCACCCCATGTTGTCCGACATTTTACACTGTCCAACAGGAGTGCCGGAAGCGCAGGAAAAGTTTGGAATAAACGCCCATGCGACTAGGACATATTAGCACTGCGTGCCGACCGATAGTGTGCTTGACTTACGTAGCGAGGCAATCAGGTTACCAATAGGCCAGAAGACGGAAAGCAGTGTCAACAGGTTTCCAGATGTTTGTGGGAGGAACTCCAGGAAGAGTGCTCCGTCAACAGGAAGATTGCCACCGACACCGAGTCCGATACAGGCGTAGAGAGCGCACGTGCCGATCCAGTTGGGGCCAC